TGACAGGATGGAATCCAAAACCTCAGGACATTGTCTCTCCACAGGGTGTTTTCTTTTAGGCATTTTATATCTTGTTTGTGCCCCAATATTTGAGTTTATGCCAAGAGATTTATATTATAGCAACGCTATGAATGATTTTGATGTTTTTCCCTTAATTCATATGTACTTTTTTTCTAAAAGGCTGTCAAATACTTCCTTATAATATTTCTTCTTCTGGAGAAACCCTATAAATGACAGAATTTAGGTGGGAAGTTGCCTCCTTTGATCACCTAGTCCAATTCCATGCTCACTGGCTTCATAGTTACATCATCCCATGCAGTAAGGCCACCAGGGCACGCAAATCTATGAGCAAGTGGATTACTGCAAAAACATCATTAATGCAAGATGTCAGCTGGAATTTCCACATCCTTGTATCCCTGCTTCTGTGAAGCTTTTTTTTTTTTTTTTCCTTTTCTTTTTAAAGCACTTTTTAGATCAACAGAGTATATGAAGCCTCTGAAACATCTTTTACACCAAAGTAGATGAAATAGGATTTGGTCAAATACCAGTGGGAATCAGGGATGTTTATGTGGGAGATCAGAATGTAAACAAACTTCCCATTTGTACTGGAAAATCTTCAGGAATTTTCCAGAGATTCTTCAAGACCTGTTTCAGAAACTGTTGAAATAAATGAGCAGTTGGAGCCCTGTGGACTGAAGCCATTTGCTTCTGTCTATATAAGCTTCTGTGGTGGGATGGGAATAATTTGGTTTACAGAGACAAATTCATAAATTAATTTCCATTATAAGACTCATTTATATATTATATTATTTCTTTCTATTTTAATCTAAGACACAGGTTAAAATAATGTGCTGGGTTTTTGAGACAGTGAATCTTGATATAATTTGTGGGGAAATGCATTTTGTAAGCACATAAAATGTCATTACACCAAAGCATATTTTGGTTTGGACATTTTTAACTTGCTGCCTCATTTGGATCTGTGGTCATTTTTGCACTAAGGCTTTTCCTGGGATGCTCAATAAGAAGTATGCTGCCATCAGAATTTGTTCAAATTTACTTTCACAGAAGCCTTCCTGGATTCACTAGGTACCCTTGTGCTGTCCACAAACCTGTTAAATCCAGTTTTAGAATTAATTTAGAGGATAATATAATAGAGTTTTTGACACTAATTATGCTTGTCAGGTGCAAATCTAGGACATCTGTGATGGTTTGTGCTAAATGCTGCTCCAGCCCCTCCCAGTATGGCAACAAACACCACAAGCCCTTGCTGGTTTTCAGTGGGTGACCCCTGGGTTGGCACTGTGGGTGCACTGAGAGCACAAATAATTTCCCCAAAAGTCTCTGGGTCACTGTGTCTTTTTTCCTCTCACATTTTAGTCTCCAGATGGGAAACTCTTACTGGCTGCTGACAGGCAGTGCCATGTGCACAACTCCGTGGTTACTTGAAATGCAGAAGCATCATTTGAGCCTGCAAAATCACTTGTGAGCTATTTATTTTCACTGGTACAAATTGTGATTGAGTTTGTGTGTGTGAAATATTTATCAAAAAGGATGAATTTTAAGAAACATGTAGGCAGGGGGTTGTAAGTGTGTGTAACGGGTTTGGGGGTTTGTTGTTTTTTGGTTTTTTTTTTCCAAGTAGTTCAGTGGATAAGGAAGAGCTTCTGAGGAGCTTCTTCTGGGAGGATGTGCGTTCCCAACTTCAACCACTCTGCAATGGGCATCCTAAGCATAATGATGGAGTTCTGTCTATTTAATTACTGTTAAAAATTATTGACTGCCTTTTCCACAGAAGGAATGTTTTGGTAATGGAAGGATTAGGATGATGCATTGAAGAAATTAAGATTTTTTTTTTTAATTGCTAGAATAAAGTCTACAAAGGTCTCTTTCTCTGGTAGTGGGGTTTTTTTTTCCCCTTTTGCATATTTCTATGGGAAGGATGCTCTGGTGAATGTGTTCCAGCTCATGCATCTGCCAGCTTACAATATGCAGGTTACTTTATTATTGTATTATATTATATTGTATTGTATTCTAGTATATTATATGATATTATTTTTCAACACATTGCATAACTGTGCATTTCAGGAAAAAAAAATGTTTTTATCCAGCCTGTTTAGACTATTTTTAAAGACATTCAGTCTGTGAGATCATATTACTTCATAAATTAATTCTCTCAAAGTAATTGCCATCCCACTGCCCAGTAACCAGATGATAATAAAGGATGATTTTCACAAATACAGAATTCTGAGGCTTTTCCCAAGATCCAAAGTGGATAGAGGAGAGTTGTTGAAATTGTGGGCTGTCCCAAAGGACAGTTTTCCTTGCATTTGGTTTCTGGGATGACCAGATTTCTTTAATGTAGCATAGACCCAGCCTCCTCACATGTCTATTATCTATTTTCACTTATTTATGAAGGACATGGCAGAAAAACCTTGATGCAGGAATGGTTTGCGGAATGGTAGATGGAAAATAAGAACCTCAGGTTTTGCAGTGAAAGACTTCAGAAAATATGCAGAAAGATTGAGTTGAAAAAGAGGGAAAGACACAAATTTGAGCCTGCAAAACAACTTTACTCTTTGTTTCTAGAGCTTCCTTCCAAACACCTAGCTGCTAAAAGAAAAAGTAGTTTTTGAGTGTTTTAAAGAGTGGAATTACACTTACTACCAAGAACACAGGTGATTATGAAAAGAATTGGCACAGCTGGGATAGATATCTGCTTTACTGCTTTACAAACTCCCCCTTGCCAAGGCTTGAAGTGGAAGTTCAGAGAGATTTGCCTCAAATTATTCACACCTGGAAAAGTTTTGCTGAATAAATCAAACTAAAACAGTCAGACAAACCTGCTTGAACTCTGGTGTCTCACTGCTTAACAACCCTTCCTGCAGTCATTTCGCTTCTGGATGAAATAGTGAAGAAGAGTAAAAGAAATAATGTCACTGAAATCCTTATAAGCTATTGACAATTCCCAAATTATTGCTTTGTAATCATGCTCCAGTTTTACCCCCTGAGGTGCTAAACACTGTGAAGATGAGGTTCTTCTCTGCTGGTTCCATGATTCTTTTGTTCTCTAGTATTTCTGTAAGACTCTGAGTTAAGTAACCTCCAGCTTTCCTATCAATATTTTTATTTTATTTATTTTCAGATCAATCTTTTAGCTTCCAGATTTTGTAACTGTGCCTTTTCAACAAAGCTGCTATAAACAGTAATTTACAGGTTCTGTTTCTGAGGCAGCTTTAAAAAAATGTGTTGTATATATTTGCTCCTGCTCTAAATGTTAAATATCATTGCACTGAACGATGGGAACAGATGGGATGCTGCATAAGCTGTTTATCATATTACACATTTATCACTTTACACTAGTGAAGTGTACATGTGTTTGATTAATATTGACTTTTGATTTATTTGGAGGGCTCTATTTTTTGACAGCATTAGGGATTACATTGTAATCCTTACTGTCTTCCAAGCTTGAAATTTAATTCCAGTAAAAATAGAGTGGATTCGTTCCATAATTTTTAATTACATGATTTTTTTTTTTTCCTGTGGAAAAGAATTACCTTGTTGAGGCTTTAATACTGGAAGGAATTCAGAAGTAAATGGAAAAGACTGTTTGCTTCAGTATTTTGGACAGATTAAATTTAGATGCCATTGGTCCAGCTAAATAAATATCTCTTGGAATTAAATACCAGATGCTAAGGAGGTGTAAAATAAAGCAAACCAGCAAGAGTCCTATTTAAATCAATACTCTTTTATACCCTCCACCTACAGAATGAGAGAACTTCATCTTTGCCTGCTCAACAGGTCTGGATGTTCAGCATGTGTTCCACCTACGTCACAGTACATGGAACCAAAAAAGCGTCTCCAAAAGCACCCCGAGCTCAGACAGAGCACCCAGCTCATCCTGCAGGCTCCCCACTGCAGCCCTCTGTCGAAAAGATGGTTTCCTAATGCACTGGTTCATTCAAATGCATTTTGGCTCAGCTGAAGCCTGAAAAAAAGGGAAGGTTTTCCTTCCAGACAATGGATGGAAAAATGATTTCAAGCTGGAGTGGGGCGGCTTGTGCTGTTTGTTCTGCTAAATGGCAATAATATTTAATGAGAGATTCTGCTCTAAACTGTAAATCCTTTAGAGTGTGAGATGCCCAGCCTGTCAGAATAAATAGAGGAGGCTAAAAACACTTACTTTGAAAATGACTGTTCATTTTGGGATGCATTGAATGATCTCAGTGAAATATTACTGAGTCAGTGGAATTTTGGAGAAAGATCAACTTCCCAGCATGTATCCTGGCAGCAGCTCTTCCTCCATTTCTCAATATCTTTTATGTTCAAATAGCACAGGCAGCACTTCAGACTTACATGTTGTCATCATTCAAATTTCAGATAACTTTCAGTGACTCCTTATAGATTGAATGAATAAATAAATTACTTTTAGCCATGTTTATCTACAGTTTTTATGCCTCTGCTTTCTTCTATGTCTGTTAATTGATATTATGGAAAGACATATCCAAAAAGGATGATTTAACACCAAGAATTACTGAGACTACATATATATATATGTTTGGTTTGTTTTTTTTTCCTTAAGCTGAGTCTTGCACTGCAGTTTGAAGTTTAATTGGCATGACCACAGTAACTGCTCAGGGCTTCATGTATTTACCTCTTCTATTGTCATGGACACTCTTTAAGCCTGCTATGGCCCTGTTGCCTTTGCTTCTAGGACAGGGGATGCTTCCAGAAACTTGCAGAAGGAAAATTCTAGTAATTGCAAAAAAAATATGTAAAGGGCAGGATTTGATTGAATTTATTTAGATGTGCGTTTCCCAGTTGAGTAGCTTTGTTTTCTGGTCATCATGTCAGCTATGCACTGTTCCTTAAATACATATTTTCATTAAAAGGTAATAATTAAAAATTCTGTTTCTACCTATTCCTTCCATGTTCTTTTTATGAAAATGCTAGAACAAAATTTTCTGCATTTTGGTCCCAAAGACTCCTTCCTTTGTGTGCAGGTTAATAACGAGAACGTAGTGAAAGTGGGCCACAGGCAGGTGGTGAACATGATTCGACAGGGGGGCAATCACCTCGTGCTGAAGGTTGTCACAGTAACCAGGAATCTTGATCCAGATGACACAGCAAGGAAGAAAGGTACATTTTTCTCTCTTCCTAATGGACCTTCTTGCTCTTCCTTCATGGATAACCAAGTATGGGCATGAAATGGCTGTTTTCTAAATTCTGATATATTAGACTTCGCTTCTCAAATTTGAAATGCCCTTGTTTAATTTGAAATGCTCTTGTTTAATTTGGAGTGATTTAATTCTGTTAGGTTAGACATTAACACGTGGCCAAAAGAGCAATATTCTCTTAACATACTTGGCATTAAAGTCCATCTTTATGAGTTTTTCATGTTTGAGGATCTTGTAGTAAAATTTCTTGCAGTGGTGAGAGAGGAAAAGCACTGAGAACAGATGATCTTTTATTAATTTCAAATGTATTTGAAATGGGGGTAGTTCTCACCCACCCATCCAAAAAAACACTACGAAAACTTCACACCCCCCCCCAAAAAAAAGAAAAAAAAGAGGAAAGAAAAAAGGAATTTAAACTGTTTCCTTCACCTTAGATGCCCCAGAGTTTGGTTTCCCAGCTACACTGGGAAGTCATTAGGCCCTCATAATTATCATTAAGCAGGGGAGATTGCTGCTCCTTGAAGCTGCAGCACATTGCTGAAAGTTCTGTTCCTCCCACAGTCCCACACACACCTGGCTCTTCAGCACTGGGCAGGTGAGGAGCTGGCACTCCAGAACTCCCTCCTGCTCCATGAAACTACAACTTTCTGTCTGTGCTGGAAGTGTTTTTCACTTTCACTGCTTATTAAAAATAATAATTAAAAAAGGAGTGAGACCAGCTTGTAGGGTGGAGGGGAAAGGCTGTATTGAACTAAATCACGTCCCAGCATGGTCCTGCATTATTTTTGGCTTGATGGAATTACTGTTCACACATTTTAAACAACTCTTTTTGCCTCTGACTTTTGGTATGTATCATATTGACCTTAAATGTAGTGACAGGACAAGGAGCAATGCTTTAAACTGAAAGTCAACAGGTTTAGGCTAAATATTAGTGGGAAATTCTTTACTGCGGGGGTGGTAAGGCCTGGCACAGGGTGTCCAGAGTAGATGTGGCTGCCCCATCCCTGGAAAGTGTCCAGGGGCAGGATGGGTGGGACTTTGAGTAACCTGGGATAGTGGAAGGTATCCCTGCTGTGGCAGAGGAGTTGGAATGAGATGATCTTTTCTGACCGCCAGAAATATTTGTCATCAGCATACTAAAGCACAGATGGTAGTTTCTGTGCTAGATTATTGTCTTGATATTTTAAGACCTTATATATTCTGAGGATCACTCGTTTCCCTTAGAGTCACCTTAACAATTCAGATACATTTAAATGTTTTTTCCTGTATTTCTCAGATTGAACAGTTTCTCCAAAGATTAAATTAATCTGCCAGAGATTAGCTGGGGCCCAGGAGGTTTTTAGCCCTGCATATTTCTCGGAAGGGGCACCACTGCTGTGAGGTCCTTTCTCTCGAAAGCCCTTTTCCTGCTGGGAAACAGAAGTGCACAGTTATTTAGCTTTAAATGTTTCTATGTATCCTGTTACATAAAAGCTTGCGGATGTGTCAAGCAACCTACGCTAGAGCCCGAATCAGTGGAGAAATTCAGTCCATGAAAAGCATCTCAGGGCTTTTTCTTCCACATGTAGGTATTTATTCTCACCTTATTTCATGGAGCTTATTCTTTTAAATGGATATGGAATCGTGGCTGTGAGCACAGGGCTTCCAGAGGGTGTGTTTTGGCTGACACTTGTGTGTTTTTCTATTCCATGCACAGCCCCACCACCTCCTAAGCGAGCTCCAACCACTGCACTGACCCTGCGCTCTAAGTCCATGACCTCAGAGCTTGAAGAGCTTGGTAAGAAAGTGTTTTTGGCAAGCATGCTGGCTTGGTGGAGATGCAAATATCTATCTATATGTCTCTATGTGAAATTGAGGAAGGGAGCTGCACTTGTACAGTGTCTAGAGCAGAGGAGGTTTTAAGAATGCTGCATCTTTGGAGAGTTCAAAATGTGCATGACTCGCATGAATGATTTTTGTGGAGACTTGTGCCTTTACTGCTGTGCAAGGGAATGTTGATACATTTTATGCATCATCAAAGTTTGGCACATCTACCAAAACAAAAAAAAAAAGAAAAAAAAAAAAAAAGAAAAAAAAGAAAATAATGCTGTATCATGTTATGTTAGCTTTGCTTTCTAAATTTTCAGTTCATCTAATATTGTTTTATTTTAAATTTCTGTGGCCTCTCATTAGTGGATAAAGGTAAGCTGCCAGAAGCTGTTGTTAAAAGCTGACAGTGTTAAAGCAGCTTCAACTTCAACTTGTTTCATTTGATCTGAAAAAGTGCATATTATGATATCACTTTTACTTCTGTGCATGATATAATAATTCCTCTCACTATTGGTAATAAAAAACTATTGAGCATTCAGTCTTTTATTTGCTAATTTTGAGAAATGTGGTTGTAGATTCCTTTGCTTGACCATCCACATTCTAGATATGCATTATTCTTCAGGAATTTGTATTCATTTTCTAGAAATGAGGAAGGTAATTTTGCTTTTCTTCCTGGTTTTAATCTGTTAGGTCATTAAAAGGTAGAATTTCTGCAGCTAGACTAAGACATGGAAATATGAATAAATCACATATAAAAAGCGAAAAGCCCAGTGCATATTTCCATGTGGCTATAAAAGTAAAACAGTGTGTTTAGCAATTGAGAAATAGCTATAAAACCAAAACACATCCCTCACTGCAGAGTAATAGATGATAATAATCCACATAATAAAACCATTTTTTCCATGTAATTCTACAATTAAATACTCAATTTTATAATCTTGGGGTTTTCCTGACATGGACTCATCTGAAGGCCAACTGGAAGGAATCATAGCCTTGTGGCCCCTTTTTTTCCCTGGTGAGTCAGTGTTTTTTGGGGCAAATGGGCCCCATCCATCCTTTAGAGAGTCAAGTCACGTAATTCCAGTGGGAAGTCTCCCAGCAAAGTGGGGCTGAAGTGGGTTGTGTCTTCTCTATGGTCTAACAACCAAATGAAGACCAAAAAAAACCACCCCAGTCTGATTATTTAGCTCCAGCAGGTCTCAGAAAATTTGGTTTTTATGTACAAGGAAGTTTAGGAGCTTAACTCAAGGTATCAACATCTTGTGAATGCTCCATCATTTTTTCTTTCAGGATTAAAATGTAAAATATTATTTCTGGAGCACACTTCGTGGGTCTGGGTGTTTTTCATTTGCTTTTCTTTCATGGAGTGCTGAGAGCTTGTAAAACTTTGCTGGTTTATCAACCACCTTTCCCAAGGGAATAGCAATACTTAAAAACCATTTTTACCCCTTTGTTACCCTCTTCTGCCAATTGCTTTCAAGCTGAGGATATTCTTCTATTTCTTTGACTTTTCAATCCTCCATAGGAGATATTGGTCTTAAAGCAGAAGCAACACTTCCTAGGGGAGAATAGCTTGTTTATTGTAATGTCCCCAGTGGAGACCATCATATTTTAGCTTTCCCACCCCACTGCTCAGGCCATGGCCCTTGCTCTGCTGTTTGTCCTCACCAAGTGGCAGAAACAACTGCAACTCCTTTAACAAGCAGCCATGGGACATATTTCCATTTTAAGCACATTTCCCATACATACCTTTATCCAGATGGGGCAGACATTGCAGTGGAAGGGGTTTTCTGTTCTGAGGAATAGTCCTGCATCCTGTTCCAGAGGTGTTTGTCCTAAGAAAGCTGTAGTGGTGGCAGAAATTTGCTTTCTTCCTAAAAAAGTCTGTAAATGTCACTTCTGTGACATTCTGAACATGTGCCACCCTAGCAAACAATGTGACTGGTGTTCCAAATAACATCTGTGGTCTACCTATTTTCATATTTGTCCTGGAAAAGGGCTATTTCCAGAAGGGACAAGAATTCTTAAATTTCACAGCAACTGAACAAGCTTCCACAGGGAAAGTGTTCTCCCTATCATCAGTTAAAAATTGTCTTCTGACATAAAACACAGCTTGTATGTGTGTATTTATCTATAATTTATATACCCCTCTATGTATTTGTGTATATATTGGACATCTGTGAGAGCTATGAGAACACCCACATTTTTATAGCCATTAAACTCTCTAATGAATGCCATATATGTGCAAACCAAATAGGAAGAACCTATAAATGAGCACTGTGGATGTTCTCATCAATACCTATGTGTAACCCTTTTTCCTCAACTGGAGAAGCTCATGGTCTCAATAACGTCTCGTGACAAAGAATCCCACGGGCTAATTATGTGCTGTGTACAGATGTATTTCCTTTTTATTGGTTTTGAATGTGATGCCTTTAATTTTATTGAATGTCCCTTGTTATGTAATAGAAGAAAAATGTAAATAGAAACTTCCCATTTGTTTTCCCTGAGAGTGCATAGTTTAGTAATGTCTTCTAGCTAAGGTAAACTTTTTTTTTTTTTTAATTGTCCATCTTGCAGTCATTAGAGTCACTTCCTTTGCCTGGCTCTCAACCCTACTTACAGTTTTACTGAAATGTTTTGAGCTATTCTGTTTTTCACAATACAGAGCAGACCACGTGAGCTGTTCTCTTTCAATTTAATTAATCCAAAAGATGGCAGTGTGCTAATGATTCCTTTCCATTTCAATCTGCAAAGATTTGGGAATGCCCGATGTTGTCATAGTTTGACAACCCTGATATCAATAAGTTTCCCCAATTACTATCTTAAAAAAGAACTTAGAAAAAAATTCTGAATGTATCCCTAACACATGCAGGGGAAAAATTCCTCATAAACCCTGATAAACAGCTTGGCCAAAGCAGATTTTATCTACTGTGGTTTGAGAGATACCTGTTTAGCAGAGGTGAGAAGGGAGAGACTGACATCTTAGAGGGAAGGCTAATGTTTGCACTCAAAATGACAGACAAGGATTTAGCATATAAAAAATTACCTTCAGAATTGATTCACAGTTCCTTCCCTTTCTATTTCCAAGCTTCAGTACGGAAGAAGAAGGGTAAGGGGAAGCATTTTGTCTCTTGTTTAACCTGTTTCTCACCTTTCCATAGTGAAGGATAATAACAATGTAAATGTTGGCATATGGTCCAGTTTATTTTATGGTGTCAAATGTACATTAATTATTGTATATGTTTTTTTAGTTATTTAGTTACTAAATTGCAAACACACTAAGAAACTCAAACAGAAGACCACATTTGAAAATATCCCCCGCATTTCTTCCTTTTGTCTCCTTTCCTTCACCTTGCCTTTTTTTTCCTTCTCTGTACCCGACTCTTCTCCAACCCCTTCCATCTCATCTCCTCACAGTTCCTGTGCTGACTGGCAGCCACAGAGAGTTAGTGGCCAGTGACCCCCAGTGCAGTCCCACATTAGTGATCCCACTCATCTCCCGAACGGCCACACGTTTTCCCACGGCCACACTGTGTCTGGCTCAGGAATCAGGGATCTTGCACACCACACCTGAGCTTCTCACCCGCAGAAATGCTGCTCTGTCTGGTAGAACATCTTCCACGCTGTCCTGTATGCATGGAGTGCCCTCCCTGGACTAATTCATGAGGTCACCTACCACCTTCTCCTTGAAATCTCTCCAAAAGACCCACCTTCCCTAGATCCCCACTGAGCAATCCCCAGCACTGATGGCAAGGCAGGGGGGCAGGTAGAAACAGCAGTGCTATTTTAATAGTTTTCATGAATGTATTTTTGTGTACAGAGAGTTTGTTTGTGTTGAGCTGTACTTTTTCCATGCTCCTGTATGTCATTTTGCTTCCCTAGACTGTGAGCTCTGCTGAGCAGGGGCTGTTCATTTCCACCTTCTCATGGAGCCTGGCCCAAGGAAGTCTCCCACTTCCCTGAGCCCCTGGGTGGTAGCTGGTGAAAAACAGGCCATGTCCTGCTCTTGGATGAGTTTCAGTGTCATGGAAAGGAAATCTAGGCTGTAGGCAGTGTCTTCTCTCAGCAGGGAAGCTTTTCCTTTTTGACATTTAATAGGATGGAATTGGGTTATTTTCCACTCTTTATTTTCCTGCTCTTTCCTGACCAGCTTTCAGGTGGCTACCGGAGGTTCCAGCTAGGAATATTTGGCATTCTCCATTCAGAGACTATGACAGAATAAACTACATTGCTACTGAAAAATACGTTTCGGCAGCATATAAAAAAATCTTTGTGTTGTTGTGCAGAGGCTGCTGTCAACCACAAATTCAGTTTTCTGGGTCAGAGATGAAGGAAACATTAGGATAACAATAATGGCTTCTCTAGTTCTTGTCTGACTGGTCTTGTTGATTATCTCTGGAGATGGGCTCTGGTTCATTAGGAAGGCAGGGCAGGACAGAACATATTTTTTGATATTCAGGATAGAAGATAGGGTATTTGTGTCTAAAAAGATGATAAAATCCTTAGGTTTGGAGCAGCATGGGCAGTTCTGTCATTTAACTGCAGTTACAAAGCATGAATTTAACTAAAATTTAACTTCATCTGTGCCACTGACTTTCTGCCTGCATTAGTTGCCTGACTCAGAGGTAGCTTCCAACCTTGAAATGCATGTGTGGAGGGGTCGTGTTTCCAAACTACTTTCTGGATTTTGTGTGATTCCTGGGATGGGGGAGAGGTGTTCTTCTTTCCTGTGCCTTGTAGTTTTCCAAGAACCATTGTATGAGTAAGTTATGGCAACATGTAAACCAAGAGTTGTAGCAGCAACTTGTTGGAGGCAGCACTTAAAATGTGATTCCATTAATACTGAACAATAACCAGGATATTCGTGCAGCAAATTGAAATGAAGGTTTGAAAACACTCTGAAAATGAAAGATTAGGGGAAAAATTTTAGGTCATAATTTTCATCATCATGATGGGAAAATAGGTATCATTAGAGTTTCAAAATTAATATTTTAAAACTTTAACTCTGTTCATGATAAGTTTATGCAGCTGGTGGAGAGCTTGGTTTTAAATGGCTTTTCCTTCAGTTTTTGTTTTGACTTATGAATAACTCCTTGTCGAGGGAGAATTTGAAAATTATATGATCCTTAAGGAACACATCCATAAGCTAAGGTCTGTAAATGTCTGGATACATGATTTAAAAGCTTCCTGCTCTTCAGTTTTCTTTGCTGCCAGGAAATGGGTTTGATTTAGTGAGTAATTTGGGATTTTCAGGGAAAGCTGAAGTGGACAGTGTTGAATTTTAAAATACCTAATATAAAATAAGAGAAGGGACAAAATGAAGAGCAGAGCAGGTTAAATTTCCACAGTAAAATGGGAATGACAAATAAATTTTCTGCATTAATAAATAATCTGCTGGCAGTGTCACATGGGTATCAGTTGTGAGCTGGGGTGGTGCTGTTGTTCTTAGAATTGATATGGTAATCAATATAAAATATTTATATATACCATATACTGATAAAGTATGTGTGTTGGTCCTGGTCTTTGGGCTTTGGTGTGGGCTGCAGTACCAACTACAAATAAAGGATTTTCTCCTTTGAAGGGTTTAGATTCTATCACCACCTCACAGATACACAATAACTGTGGTATCAACACAGAATATTGTTACCTGGCATCAAGTCTGAACGGCATTTGAATAGAAAAATATCAGTTGATGGCATTCAAAAGAAATATTATTAGCTCTGTCTGCAATAAGCATTCCCACTTCATCCCATTCCTGTTGTCCATTGTTTCAAAGGTGGTACCTTCCAATGGCATCTGAAACAATGAAATTGCAGAGCAAATATATATAAATGAATGCCAAGCAGTGGATTAGCTCACAGTGTTCTGTTCTGTTTGAAGAGACTACTCCCAAAGCCGTCTGGGTTCAAAACTCACTTTCTTTATTTCACTGTGGCGGAGTTGATGATGGAGATTTGTCTGCAGGGAACAATGGGAATACCACCAAAGCAACTTTTACAGCACTCACCACAGCAGCTCCTGAGATAGCTCCCAGCACCTGCAGTGTTTCTCTGTAGGAAGAAGGTTTTCAGATCTTCACCAGACACTATTTCAGAAGATGAGAGCAAAAGGCATCAGGCTTCCTGAAGAATTCTTGAAGGTTATCCCTTGTAAGTAATTGATTCACATTACATATTTGAAATTCTAATGAGGTGGCAGTGTAGTAATGAGGAAGAGCTTGTCATCAGGTTGTCATTTATCTCAAGCAGAAAGCAGTGACTCTGGGTGGAATTTGTCAAGTCTGTATGAAGAAATGCCAGCCCCCTTTGTGGTCGGTGCGGCGAGGCTGCAGATTTTATGGCTTGTAGTGTAACTCTGGGGAGTCCACAGCAGTGTAAGTGTAGAATTAGGACCACGGCTACAATATAACTCCTTGTAAAACACCTTGTGAGAGCAAAGTATTGAAAATTGGCATGTTTCAAAAAGGGAACAATGCTAAACCTGTGTTTTCCATGAAAAATAACTTGGCAATGTGCTGATTAGCAACTTGTGCCACAGAATCCAAACTTCACAGGTAACTCCTGGTACTAAAGGATTTAACTTTCATGAGATGCTTTAACATTTTGGAAACACTGAGAATCCTGAGTAGAGGCTGCTTGAGTCTGCATGGGTGTCCTCATCTACACCATTATTATTTTGAATTTCTCAGCTTATTCTCGAGGATGTAGCGCCCTGTCATGACACCTGTTTTTCTTTACTACAGGACTATAATTGAAAAGGTTTTTAAAACCTTTCTGCATCAGCCAAACAAGATAATGGTATAAAAGAAGTTGGAAAAGGAATTGTAAGTGTTACAGAAAATGTGGGGTTTGTAGCATTTTACAAAGAGACACATTAAATACGTTGGTTTATGTGAGTGTGACTATGCTCAGATATTATCAATTTAATATCTAAGCACATATGCAAAATCATGAGGGCTTGAGGAACAGTTAAAATTGCATGTGTTTCCCAACATGGCACAGTTAGGGCAGTGGAAACCCTTTCAGCACTTTTAATGTGTTCTCTCTCTTTTTCAGGAGCCAGGGAGATGAAGGACTAATCTCCCTCATCTCAAAACTCCCTTTGCTGCTAATTTTTTTTCTTTTTCCTTCAAATGTTCACATACCCATGTTAATTAATTTCTAATCTAATTAAAAATAAATTGTTTTAGATAATTCCTCATAGTTTGTTTGTTTTTTCCCCTCGGTGTGGAAGCGTGAGAGTTAAGTGTAAGACCAGAGAAGGCTGTGTCTTATATCCTCCACTTTCTTTGTGATTTCTTTGGTTTGATTGCCTTTCTTTTGTGACTAGGCCAAATTTTCAAATGCTGTCTCTTAAACAGAATATCAAATTGCCATTTAAATTCCACCTGGCTTGCAGGGTAGGAGTGGGTATTGACTATATTCTCTGCTTTGTTTTTGTTCTTGAACAGAAACTACTGTTAGACAATGACCATTCCTCTTTCAAGGTAGGCTGAATTGCAAGGCTTCAGCATTGCAGGTGTATTTTAAATGCCTGTGTCATTATTTCCTTAATAATGAACATGCTGTTAAAGAGCTGGTACTTGAAAATTGTATCTCTAGAAAGGAATTTGAACATATCCATTTTCTGCCTTCCTTAAAAATTACTTTCAGTGGTGTGGTTATAATGTGTAAATGTGACTTGTGTGTAATAATGTGAAGCTATTTTCAGCCCTAGAAACACAAATAAGGCTTTCCTTCAAGAAAGTTTTGAGAGCTCTTTATTGTGAATACCTACAAAGCATTTTCATAAATAATATAATGGTATTTATAGATACTCAATGTTAAATGATTAATTTTAATAACTAAAGTTTTTATGTTTTATTGATTTATTTTATATATTATTTTATTTTATTTTATTTTAGAGTACTTTGTAGAATTTACAGTATCCCAGAGAACAGACAAGTATTTTTAGGTAATTTTCATAGAAGGAAAGTGTTTCAAGTGCGTTTTGTGTTTGACTGTATTGCAAAGTGCTTTTATTATTTCCTCATTATGCTGACTGCTAAAATAATATTCTCTGCCTGTTGTTTGCAGTATGATAAATGTGTGGTTTGGGCATTGTGATTCAACCACAATCCTGCAAATTGTTAATTTGGGATGGGGCTGGAAAAAGGTAATTTCAGATTAAAATATAGTGGTGGCAGATCAATGAGGATTAGCCTAATTGTCCACATGAAAACTTAGATCATTCCATTTCAGTATATTTTTAACTATATATTTACAGGACATAACTGTAGGCTGAACTTGTTGTTTCTTTCCTCCAATTTTGATCATAAACAACAAATTTGGATTTAGAACTTAACCTTTGATGTTCTTACTCTGAATCCATGCTTCAGATAAGGCTAGTCTTTAAATGCTCAGTGGTGTGTTGAGGGCCTTGTTATACTTTACCTACTTTTGGTCTTTGATGAATTTTACACATCTGATCCTGTTTGAAGAGCTGAAAAGAAAGCCATTTGTTCTCAGCAGGCACAGATCCATTTTTAACCATTTTAACCAAACATGAGTCACCTGTTTTTCCCTCAGGGACACTGTCAGGTGAAATTGCTTCTGTGCCAAGCAGATTTATCAGATGAACTCCGGTGGTCTGATCAAGCTCTCTTTTGAAATCAGGAGGTTCTCACCTGCCCATTAGCATTGCAAAGGTGTTCCAGAATTCTTGTTCATCTGCTTCTTTGAAAGCCTTGCCCAGATCCCCAGACCCACTGTTTGCCCAAATTGTCATTTAGTAGCTCTCCCACCGGCAGACATTCCCCCTGAAGTTTTTATCCAGTTACTTCCCATCTATTCTTTTACAAATTAAACAGGGCAAGGCCTTTGGCATATATATGGGAAGTGCCAAAAACCTAAAAGGAATGCCATGCAAATAATTGCACCTACTTGATTTAGATGCTGGGTTTTTTGGGGTGGTTTTTTTTTTGTTTTGTTTTGGTTTTTTGGTTCGTTTTTTTGTGGGTTGGGTTTTTTTTGTTGTTTTTTTTTTGGTTTTTTTTGTTTTGTTTTGGGTTTTTTTTTGTTGTTGTTGTTTTGTTTGTTTGTTTGCTTTTGTTTGGGTTTTTTGTGGGTTTTTTTTGTTTGTTTGTTTGGTTTTTTTCCCAGACATGGAAACTTAATTTCATGCATAATCACTCCTGGTCTTCATGCTAAAAACAAGCTACTTGTAGTTAAAAATAAAAGAAATTGGGATAAAAAAACTGAATCCATAAGATGAAAGCAACACCACAGCCATATTTTTAGGTCATTTAAAAGGCGTTTCAAATAGGCATTTCAAATAGGCACCCTTTAGTTTTGGTGCAGCTCCTGTAACCCATTTTTGCAGATTATTGACAAGGAAGCAAATTGTATCAGCTAACGAAGGAAATTAAACTAAACCTGCAAACTCATGTTTAGGGAAGGCGATGGAACAAAACCTTTGCATGTGCAGTGCCTGAAACTAAGGGCTGTATGCCCAAACCTGTTGCCAACCAAGGAAGAATGAATGTCCTGTGTTCCCATCACTTTTCCAAAGGAAAAATGCATGTGCCCAGTATTTGCCTGCAGATGCTGGACCAGGTGGGTGATCCTACAGCACTGAGGTGCCATTGGCATTGTCTGAAGTGTTGCATAATGCGCCTGGTACAGTTTCTGTCTGTATCTATCTTAGGTATTTACAAGGCACCTATCACCTTGGTACCTAAGCAGTTTGAGAAATGCACCCACCCCAGGAGGGATGATGAGATACAGACAGAGGCCCAGGTCCAGAGCAGCAGAGGCAGGGCCCGGGAAGCTCCCCTGCTGTGTTCCCGCTGTTGTTGGGCTCCTGGCCCACTTGTTGTGGCCAAGGGACATCTCCACCCACCTGTCTGTCAGCAGGAAGAGACGGTGCCCCAGCCCTCCCGTGCAGCTCCGCTGGTGGGCAGTCTGAAAAGGAAAGATAATGGAAAAGGCAACGATCCGGTAGCAGAGGTGAAACAGGAATGGTGGGATTTCAAAAGGAGGGCTTCTTAAAGAGCAGCACATCTCAGGGGAGGGATCAGCTGCCAGTCCAAGTGGCAGGTAAGGCACAACACAGGCATAAATCTCAAATGTTCTTCAGTGACCAAAAGTTAAAGAAATACTTCTGATGTCTCTAAAATTTGTGTATATCCAAAGCCCTGCTCTGTTCTTGGCCTCTGTCTCAGTCCTCTACCCCTTCAGCTGAATCAACCATTCACTAATTCTCTGTGTATCTCAACCCAGTAATTGCTACAATCCTAAAAATGCCTAATGACCAACACAAAGGACTCTCAGTGGTAACAAATGTTGTGATGCAAGGAATAGCACGGAATAGCAGTGCTCCAAAATAATGGACATATTCATGAACCTAAAGGCTGGAATAAACTTGGCTTTAATCAGCATGCTCAGGGCAGGACCACAAACCACAGCTCTCCCCTGCAGTCACACCTGGAGCAGCTCTCCTGTGGCCTCCAGGAGCACCTGCTGATCCACCACATCAGACCAGGCTCTGTGGCAGCCCAGGGGAATCACCTGCATAGGCAGCAGGAACAGATGTCTGGCAGATTCTGCTCCTCTGCAGAAACAGAGAACCTATCCAACAGAGGAGAAAGGAAGACAGCCAGGACTTTGGTGGTGGCTCACCAGTTCCTATTGCATGGACCCCCTCAATAGCAGATCTCTTTTTTTCCTTAAACACAACAGGGTCACTGAGGTAAAACAAAAAACAGCCTTCAGAAAGCTGTGAATCCCAGGTGGCTTTTGGAAATAGCTGCATAGTACCCACAGTGATCAAGCACTAAAGCTGAAGTGCAGTGGGTCACTGACTTCCAGATGTTTCTGCCCCCTTTAGCCTATTTGCATGCTCCTCCCTGAGTCCCTTCCTTGGCCATTTAAGGATGGAGATTGAAGTCCAGCCCAGCAGATCAAGGGGCATCAGGTTAGGAAGGTGAACCTTGGAGGCTGCAGGTCTGATGGCTGCTATCACTTGGTGTAAAGATATCTGTAAAAGACAGAAGTGACCTATTTTACCTGTAAATTATATCTATCACTGTGAGCAAAATGCTGCATGTAGAACTGGTGTGTCAGGTGGAAATTGCTAGAAAGATCAGGGAATCTGACCTCTTCCCTTTGCTTTACACCCAAGGAAGCCAGCTGTGCTTCTTTGTACACGCTCTATTTAAAGCTTGAAAAGAAAGAGACTTCTTTCTTTCTTTTCTTTTTTTTTTAAGCAAATTAACAACCAGGTGAGGTCAGCTATGTTGGTGCATGGTTTGATCCATGACCATTTTTGACTTCACAGCTGTAGTGGCCTCTCTCTCTCTTTTTTTGGAAGTGACCCCTTTTCTAAGGAGTCAAAGGCAGTCAGTTGAGGTCACTCTGTCAGCTGTTTAAACATGAGGACGATTTCTGGCTGAACCCAGTTTGGCAGTGCCCCTGCTGTGCCTGGCACACCTCTCCCACAGCCCCAGCCTAGGCACCGGGGTAACCAACCTGACCGAGATCCGCCCAGAATTTAGGGTGAATTTTGGTCACTAAGGAATGTATTTCTTGGGCAGAGACTCACACGTTCATTCAGGTGGTGTCAGCCAGTGGCCTCCAGGCAATTTTCCCATGATTGCTCCTTAGTGAAGGCAAGGCTGTGGAAGGCCATGCCTGTAACATGCCCTTGGTTCCCCATGCGCATGGCAAAGCTTCCCAAAGAAACCGGAGTTGCTGAGAGATGCTGAACACCTTGTTACAAATAATAACAGTGATGGTTATTCCTCCTTCTCATTACCAGCCAAGTTTACCAACCTAACCTAAAGCCTGTGCATGTATTCATTATTCAGAAGTATTCGCCAAGAGTTTCTGCAATTAACCTTCTGCCCAGGGGTTTTCACAGACTCTTTGCTTTTTTGTCATTTGTGTCATTGGTCACCAATTGCCTGATGCTGTTCTTTCAGCTCTGAAAGGCTGAAAAGACTGATTGGGAGAATGGCAAGTGGTATTTCATAGGACATAAGGAATTTTGCAAAAATTTATTATTGCACTTTTTCAGAGAAATTTTGCTTTACAAGCCTCTGGCAAATATGTAGACATGCACAAATAACAAAGGTGTTCTGGTCCCCCTGAGTCTGAACAAACTAGATGCAGTGATACCATTTACAGAAGTATTCATAAATCAGTGTGGAGTTTGGAGGTTTTTGATTTCGTTTTGCTTCCGTTTTTGACTTCCAGTATAGTTTGGTTCTACTACTTACCAGTTGTTAGGTGGGCTCTGTTTAGAACACTTGCCAGCTAAATGGGGTTTTTAAATATGGGGAATTTTCTGTTGACATGTCAAAAGAAATGCCAAGACATTCAGTATGACCAGTGGCTCTACCAGAATGAGTATTTATGATCCCTTACCTCACTCCGATTTCATAGACTTTAACTGAAGTGTGTGTTTGCTTTGTGTGGTAAAATTAGGTCCCCTGTTTTTTGTTCTTTTTTTTTTTTTTTCATGTGTACTCAAATAGGAAAATGCTGAGAAATCATTTCATGATCCTACAGTGTAGTTGTTAAGAGAGCTTTGCTAATGAAGGAATGCAGCTATGGCTGTATTAGAAAAAGCAGGAGAAGAATTGCCAAGGAAGAAGCAGTTCTTAGTTAGGTTGATATATAGTCCCTTTCAAATCTCCATGGAGTGGAAGAGCCAATGATTGCATGACAGTTTGTCCCTAAAATTCATTTCCATAAGGAGCTCATACCTTTTTACAAATACAATTTCATCCTCACTTTCCATAAAACATGCAACTGGACAGTCCAGGCAGACACAGAGAGAATATGAATACTTTGAATGTGAATACTTTGAAGTAGTGAATATGCTAAATGCACGAATAATATCCATTATTTTAGCACTTAAAACTCAACATTCAATGAAGTCACACAGAATCCCTCTTAGAGCACCATAATATTGCAGGCACAAGGGTGTAAAAATAATGAGTACCACACTGTGGTAGACAGGGATTGAGATATAGGAGGAGGGATCCTTGGGTCTGTTAGAAAAAGCTTTTCATTTCATTATAATTCACATAAAATAATTTTAAAAAATTAAAAAACCCCTGCCCTGATTCATAAACAGAACCAAAAGTATGGTTTAACACGACCTCAGCAACACCTTGCAGATATAAGCTTAAAGTTTCCACTGAGGTCTGAAGAGCAGTATTTCAAAAAGCAGAAATTAATCCTCTAAAAAAAAAAACCAAAAAGCTTTTTTCAAGGCTGGGATGCCAGAGAGTAGGCACAGCACTGATCTGGCATTCAGGTCACTGCGGTGTGAGCAGCAGCAGCAGCCTGGTCAGGTCACAACCCTACCGAGAGCAGTGCTTCTCTCAGCTGTCCCTTGCCTGAGCGTGGGGAATGCAGGGCTTTGGGCTTTGTGCTGGCTCCTTTAACCACACTGCCCCAGGGTGATTTCTCATGACCAAATTGTCTCCCCTTAAAAAAAAAAGAAAAAAAATTGGACTTATTTTTTTATCTGAAGTAACAAAGTGTACGGAGTCCTGGCCACAGCCTCACGTAGTGCAGAGAGGTGCAGGACAGAGCTGGGCAGATCACGCTCCATTGTGAGTTGGTGATCCCTGTGGGTGCAAATGCCCGAGCCTGTCCTGCTCTTTGGGAGGGCATTTTTCTCTAGAGTTATCATGGGGAAGTGCTCACAGCCAGATTTCCACCACGCACCCTCAGGCAAGGGAAGAGGTAGCTAGGGGAGGGCAAAACTCCGTTCATTTGCAGGAGACAGAGATCCTGGTGAGCAATGCCCTCAGATAGCATTTCCTACTGTTTGGAGAAGAGAGCAAGGAAAATCTGGCAAATGTTGGGGAGGGCATTGCTCACAGGATAATCCCATGGACGACCACCGTCGCGCTGCAGCAGTTATTTGGGAGAGATTTTGGGTGGGGTGACGTGAGACGTCGGACAAAAGTGAAGATAGCCAGCAGTGCTTCAGAGCAACAAAGGGCTGCCCTCAGCCAGTGGTGGAGCACATCTGGCACCCCAGGAAGCTCAATTGGACCCTTGGCCCTGAGCTCGTCCCAGGGATTTCTGACTGACACCACTGCAGTGCATAGGTGAGCTTCTTGCTAGGTTCACTGACATTTCCTGTCACAGTCACGCTGAGGGGAATTTGATAGCTCCTGCCTTGGGATGCAGCATGGCTGTGTGTGTTCTGGGTACAGGACAGTGTGCACTGAGACCAAAAGTGCTTAATGACGCCAATTGCCACGTGCCCAATGTAGTCACTAAACTTTAGTCCGCCCTTCCGTTTGCCCAAACACATACACTCTGGCTTCCCAACTGGCTTCTTTCTATGTGTTGTCCAATGCATGTAGATACCTCCATCTGCCTGGCCTCAGATACAGTGGTTGTTGCTCCTCTATTTGATTGCCAGATGTCACTGGGGAGCAAGATGGGGAGGTTCCTGGATCCTCGGGGCAAGCCAGCCATCACCGAGGGAGCTCGCTGTCCACGCCGGCCGAAGAACAGGAATCCTCGGTGCCTGCCTCTGATGAAGACTCGCCAGCCAGGACCACAGAGAGCTGGCAGTGGCCGCTGTCCTCATCTGAAACGCACAGCAACGTTGGGGAGGATTTTGAGGGATTTCAAACGCCAGCGCGGACTCCAGAGTGCACCATGGACATACAGTCTCCCGGGGATCAGTCACTCAGTAGGACTCCTCAGTTTGAAAGTGACTCTCCTGAGGAGGAGGGAAATGATGAGATGAATGAAGAGCGCTGCGGTGTTGAGCCTGTCCCTAGGGATCGGGGTTGGAGAGGGCAGCCCCAGCTAACAGAGGGAGAGAAGCTGTTGATGGAAACCAACAGTAGGATTGTGCAGCTGCTGGAAAATATCAAGAGGGAGCATGCACAGTCCATGGGTCTCATGTCCCAGTCCATGGGCCGTATGGAGCTGCAGCTGGGCATTGTGGCTACCTCCACAAGAGCCATCCATAACTACCTGTCAGAGATTTTAGCTTTCCTCAAGCAGCCGAGGACGCAGGTCCTCGAAACACGCATCTCCCAAAGAGCCACCCCCCATGTCGAGTTGACGTGTGCCTCGACATGGACTGGTGAGGACGCAGTGGCATCCTCCACTGTGTGCTTACCAGGGGCCGAAGGGACGAGCGACTCTCGCGACCCGCCGCAGGCCACCCTGCCTTGTCGCAGTGGCCGGCTGCAGAGAGCCATAACTGAGAGGGCCTCGCTGCCCATGCCTCCACGCCAGGCAAAAGGGGGAGGGAAGAAAAAATAACCACTCCATAGGATTTTTAGAGTTTTTTTTAATGTGCCTGTCCTTTTAATTCTTAGCCATAAGGCCATCGGTGGCAGAGTTCAACCATTTCCTACATTGGCTAACATTGTATTCTGGCTGACTAGATTAGTCTAACATCTTGTAGTTTATATTTGCACTGTTAACGATGTGTGCTGCTGGTATTTGAAGAACATTTGCCTCTGTTCTTTCACTTTAACTTCATATGAGCATTTTTTTACTCTGTGCCAGGCATTCATTGCTTTTCTTACAAATACAAGTCATTTCTTGAGGCAGCTGTTTTTTGAGTTTTCTTTCTCCATTATGCCACCCCCTCTGAACAAGCACTCGGGACTTGGTGGTAAGTATAGAGGTCTTGGCAATACTCGCCTCCCAAACTGTGTTCGATCAGTCTTTGCCTGGTGTTTTTCTGGCATGCCAGCCTGAGGTGTTGGGGTATAGCCTGTACTGGATCATGACCATTCTTATCCTCTGTGGGTCTCACCAGCTCACTTCCTAAGACCCTCGGTGGAGCTAATCCACATGTCTTGGCTATGTCGTACAATAAGTAATGTTGCCAGGATCATACCTCATATTTCTCTTTTTGGGGGCTGTGTAGTGATGTGCCACCAGATCTATCTTGGCACCTGACTCTCGTTTTCAAAGTTCATTTTATGATGGATCTGGTGGCTTGATGGGCAGCATTATACTTTTTCCTCTGAGAGAGTCTGGGTATTCGGAACAGGAGTCACTAAGCAATGTGTTCTATGGGGATAAGAGCCATCTCCTGCAACAAATCTATTAGGAGAAGACTGTCCCCTGTAATTATCACAGATATTAATTATTAAAGAAAAAGAAAAAGAAAAAGGAAAAAAAAAAGCAACTTGCCTAGCAGCCAGACCTCTTGAGAATGTAAAAGTCATGACATGCTGTTGGGTACTGTGCTACTCTGTCTGTGATTAAGAGCTTTTCATCAGAGACGAGACCTACATCTTGATAAAACACAACTACTTTCTGTGCCTTTAGGCCATCCAATTTCCTGAGGGCTTGCACCCTGAGCAGGGCACGGGTCCCATTGGTAAGCCAACAGGGCAGATGGGAATGCACTTTGGCAATAAATTACTTTATATCTGTTGGTGCTGCCTCTCTCGGGGGAATCTAATATAGTGGCACTCAAATTGCTATATGCATGCAGAGGCATCAGACTGGCTTTTACATGTGGTATCCCTGACAGTTCTCCGGAAGGATGCTGCTCCCAGGAGCCCCTGGAGCAGTGGGGACAGGTTCTCACAGGTGTAGCATGGCTCCTGTGTTTGACTCTCAACACGCCATTGTGACTTCTCAAGAAGGTGCAGAGCAGTTTCTATGGAAAATGCCAGGGAATAATCATAGGCTTAAAAATCCTCTTCTGTGACTACAACCAAGCCATGTTCTTTGGCCAGTGAGATGTAGACTCTTCTTCCCTGTCTTGCAGTGAGGCTAAGGTTATTCAGCAAAGCAGATCAGAGTTTGTTACTCTACTAGCCAGGCACAAACTTCTCCTGTAAAAGTGTGTGTGTGCGTGTGTGCTTGTGGCCGTACTCTGCTAAATGACTGGTTCAAGGAGGAAATGCAGCTGGCATGGCCAATCTCCAGTGCAGGCTTTTCCCACATTCCTTCCTTTTGACCTTCATCCAGCTGCATTCCTTTTAAAAATCCCATTGGAGGCAGGCTTCTTTGGGCCACTTTGTCAACACGCCTCACAGCAGGTGCCGATTTTTGCATCCATTTTGTCCTTTCTTCTCTCTTTTTTCAGGGTTATTTGTAAAAGTTATCCTCAGAGAATTTCCAGCATGAGCTTGTGAGCTTCCCCTCTCATTGGTATGAGGAGTGCCTGCTGCAGAGTATTTGAGGTCATGAGGAGGCTGGGAGGAGAGCTAATTAGTGAGCCTGACAAATTATTCCAGTAGGAGTATATTTGGAATGTGTGGTTCGGATGCAGGAGTGGTTTGCGCTCTGGTGCTGTAGAGACAGCTCGAGGCACAGGCAAGTGAAGGTTTGGCCCAACAACTCTTCTTTCTCTGGGATGAGTCTCAGCGAGGATAGCTGCGGTTCAGCCAGTCCATTTCCTTGGCCTGAGGAGCACGTTTGATAAGGCAGTGAGGATGTTTTTGTTTCACGCCGTGCTTTCACTCCAGCAGGGTGGGGCAGTTGTGGCCAGGCGTTCAGATTTTGACATTTCCCACAGGACCCGCCATGTAGCTGCCACCATTTAGGATTAGTCTCCACGTGCTGGCTGCTTCTGTGGCCTCACATTTTTTGTTATAGTAGTCCAAAATTACAACCTCCACTCGAGCTTTGCTTGCTGATCCAAAGGCAGTAGAGCAAGAGAAAGAGCTGTGCAGTGCTGCCCTTGGAAGTGCCATGCGAGGAAGCCCTAAAGAGCTCCTTGCAAAGCAGCTCGAGTTCTAACCCACCCTCCTCTCCCATTTCTGAGTGCTTTGGTTAAATGTGGCAAATGGGAGCAGCCATAGCGTGAGAAGGACTGAAAACCTCTCTACAGACAAGAAACCTGCAATAAACTCACACAAAATCAGGGGTTTTTTCCCCCCTCATGGAAATGGTAGATGGTTTTAAGAATGGGTACCAACTGATATTTTGGTCAGATCCAAAATTAGGATCTGACTTCTAGGATTGTCTAGCAGAATCAGTGCAGGTGAAGGATGTGTATGTTTCATCCCCAACAAAAATTTTCATGCTTTTCCAAGTGTCTGTCATGGCCTCATCACTCTTTCCCTGTAGCTTTTTGTTGTCTGAATGGGTTCTGGCTACATGTGTCTGTTCAAAATAAAGGGCATCACTTCTCACATGGTACATTTTTATTTCTCATGTGCAGATTTTGAGTGCTTCAATTTCCAAGGCTTCCTTCTTTCTGTATCCCAAAGATTGTTTGGCTTCTGGGATGAGAACAAGGGTGGGAGAGCCTTAAGAGGAAATCTCTGCCCAGTTGAAGCTCTTGGTGATAGATCCCCTGAGTACCATCCTGCAGTCCAGCCATATTTTTGCTATATAGGGTTAATGTTCATGGTTACACCATTGCTTTCTGATGCCTTTTGCTGAGCAGAAGTGCACATATTTTTCTTTCAGAAGTTTGTATTACAACGCCTTACGAAATGTGACGTGAACTTGGTTTTTTATTTTTGAGTACGTGTGACAATTTTAAGAATTTTTTTTCCTTTTCTCCTTCCACTGGATGATTTAAACCCCACCAAAAAAAAAAAAAAAAAAAAAAAAGAAAAAAAAAGCAGACCAATGAAAAGACTTGAATACTACCTTCAGTTGAAAAGAAACAGCAACACTACTCTTGTGAGACAGTTCTCACCAGTGTTCCTTTCCTTTCCTGCCTGCTCCCTGATCCTCTGTGACACTGAAATATCCACTTCTAGGACAACCTTCTTCCTAACCTGAAGGCTAAAAGTTCTTCCCTCTCTTCTTCTCCTGTTTAAAATATCATCCTTGCATCAGCCAGATCTACTGTTTAGAAGGATCAAAAGCTCTTTTCCTCCTGCCTTATTCCCATCCATATCAATATCCAGGGGTCTGAGTGCGCTGCTCTCCAGCGAGAGGTAAAATTTAAATCCCTAAATACAATACTTGGGGTAGTAACACCAGCTCTACATCACCAAAAACCTGGGGATTTTTCAAGTCTACAGTATCCAATGAAGTAACTATCCTTGTTTAACAAATAATCAATTATTTGGGAGATGGAGCTAATTGCTAAAAAGCAGCATTGCTCTGACTCGTGTGTGGAAGCCTAGGAGCCAGGCTGAGGTGTTCCACTTACAGAAATGCTACAGGCTATGAAACTAATCCTAGTTTTGGTGAAACTTCAAAGGAAAATACATTAAATTAACATGATACAGGCAAACGAATAGTAAGAAAAGCTGTTGGTGTGATTCCAGTTTGGATTCTAGTAGAGATTTCAAACTCAAACTTTCCTGGTGTCTTGGGCTAGTGATTTAATGTCTCTGTGCCTTGGTTTCATAGCAGTAGAAGGGAAAAAAAAAGAGCTGTCAGGTAATAATTAGTGGATTATACTGTACTTCAAAGTCTTCCTTGTGAGGGAGTAGCATTTTGTATTTAATGCTGATGAACCTTGTTTGTGACCAAAGTTGGAGACAGAGCTAACACCACCACTCAGCTTTGGAATATCCTGATTAAACTTTTCCCTGTATTTTACCATCACATCATGCAGTAGATCAGTGTCCCAAATCCAAATGTTGAAGTTCTCATTCAGATTTGGACTTTGCCTATGTTTGGTCTGCTTCTGACCATGACTAAATGCATTCCCAAACTGTCCAGTTATTAGAAGAAATTTTAAAAACGCAAACCAACAGAAATGCATAAAAAAGTTTCATTTAAACAAAGGATGCAGTTAACAGTGCTAGCCTACAAGTCCAAGAGTGTGAACAAATCAGGATGTTATTACTTAAAGAGCATAGGCGTGAAAGAGCACTTCTGGAGTACTTGTTATTGTCCAAAATATCACTGAAATTCTGATGACTAAGTACAGTCTGCTTATCTCTATTTGAAACAGTGCTCTACGGATTCACTATTTCTAAAGGTCTTCTTTCCATTTCTATATAGATATTCTCCCTTCACATTTTGAAGGTTTGAAGAAGAGGATTGTTTTTCGAGTCACACTAAGTAAACATTAAATGCATGCAGGCTTAAAACTAAAGCATGCATGTTATGTAGCAGCAATAAAAAGTGCTCGGCTTGCACGACTTATGATGCTCAAGCGTTGCCTTGTTAAAATGCCAAAAAAACTTTTTCTTTGCATTTTTTTGAAAAGTGAATCTCTTCCTTTGACCTTGCAATACTTAACTTTTCCATTTCGTTGGACAAGTGATATTTATTTTACTGAATGCTTTTATATTACAGATAAGGTGGATGAAATAGTGCCAGTTTCCAAGCCATCAAGAATTGCAGACAATGCAACTGTGGACTCCAGAGTGGCAACTATAAAACAGCGGCCTTCTAGTAGATGTTTTCCCTCAGCTACAGATATGAATGTGAGTGGGAGCCACAAAGCACTGTTCTATTCCTACTAATGTATCTAATTCCTTGATTAAATAATGCCCAATTCTTTGTAAGGGAAGACTTGACATTAATACTATAGCACGTATTAAAAATTAAACACCAGAAATCTGAAATTGCATCACTCAAGTGCAGAATTTAATCTTACAAATTTTGCAGGTAAAAAAAATAACTGGTTTTATTTCCTTTTGGACATAATTTTCCATTACCCACCTTAAGCTGTTACCTTGTAAATAATATCAACTCACTCCTCTTACAGCAGCTGTCCTTTCATGAGTGTCTAAACAAAGCCTAGCCTTCCCTTTCTCTCCACCTCCTCCCCAGAAATAACCCCAGATTTATTATTTTCCATAAGAATTTTCAGTGAAAGGGGTAATGGATGAGGCATTTTTTCCACATGGGAGAGACTTTCATGCTTTAATGCTGTTCGGGTTTCTGTTTGCTCTTTTGTAGTCCATGTATGAGAGACAGGGTATTGCTGTGATGACGCCCACTGTCCCAGGGAGCCCTCAAGGTCCTTTTCTGGGTATACCTCGGGGTACGATGAGAAGACAAAAATCTATAGGTAAAATGCCTCTCTTGTATGGTTTTGTTCATTAATAGCATACTTTCAGTAACTTTAGTTCTTTCCTAAAGCGTGTTTCTCCGACATCTTTACCCCACTGAATGGCTGTTTAATCTTTATACAAAGCTCATGAGAAAAGAATTTTGTGTGTAAGGTGATGTGATTTCCACATTTGGCAAGTATGGAATTATAATTTTGTTATTTTCTTTAGAATGTTCCTTCTAACAAGGACAAAAAAAAAGAGATCAGTACAAGCCTTTTGCAAAACATTAGGGCAAAATATGGTCCTTTTTTTTTTCCTTGTTATTGAGGTGAAAGCATTGTACTGCTGTGTAGTTTACAAAGAAATCGTGTTGATCAAACGGACTAAAATTCACCTTTAATTTTCATTTCGCATGATGGCAATAGATGTTTTTACAACAAAGAAACAAAGAGCAGACCAAATTTGGGCTTTCTTTGTTCTTGTTATTAATCTTAGCAGTGACTTTTATCAATTTAGAAACACATTATGCTGATGTAAAATTAGCATCCAAACTATCCCAGTATTGCCTAATTTATTTATGTTAGAAGCCATATTTGTAATGATATAATGCCATCTTTTGAAATGCAACATTATGGGTTTTTTTCCCCCAACAGGATCTTCATAGTCCCTTTGCTAAATTTCCATGGCATCTTAAAACTTCATTAGGTTTCTGAGTTGTTTTATTATGTGTATTTGTAGAGTGCTGGCATAAGGCAGAAGCGGCTCCTCTGCACAGAATATCTTCCCTGTTCAATAATTTTCAAAGAAAATATGCTTTTCTACAGCCACCTTGATGATACAAAAACCCCAAACATTTGCCTACACATCAGTTTAATTAAAATTCCTTAGTATCCTTTTCAATCCTGGCACCTGGGATGTCCAACAGGAAAGAATGATTATGGTGGGAATCAACCTAAAGGCCTCTTTTGGAATTTTGCATACTCCTTATGCTGTGGGAATGCACCCTGGAATTTTGGGTTGGATGGAGAAATAGTGCAGCGTGAGGGATCCTGGTGGATATGGCAGTGTTTTAAAAGCACTCTCTGATTTTTCAGGAATAACGGAGGAAGAGCGGCAGTTTCTGGCCCCTCCTATGCTGAAGTTTACCAGGAGTCTTTCAATGCCTGACACCTCTGAAGATATCCCACCACCACCACAGTCCTTACCCCCCTCACCACCACCACCTTCCCCTTCTCTGTACAACTCCCCCAAATCCCTGACATCCCGGAGCTACGGAACGATCAAACCTCCATTTAACCAGAATTCAGGTGCAAAAATCTCTTTGGTTAGGCCCGAGAGCGTGGGTACCATGATAAGGGACAAAGGGATCTATTACCGGCGGGAGCTGGACCGATACTCGCTGGACTCAGAGGACCTGTACAACCGGAGTGCCGCAGCTCAGGCCAATTTCAGGAGCAAGAGGGGCCAGATGCCTGAAAACCCCTATTCCGAGGTTGGGAGGATCGCCAGCAAAGCCGTTTACGTGCCGGCCAAGCCAGCCAGGAGGAAGGGGATGCTGGTGAAGCAATCCAATGTGGAAGACAGTCCGGAAAAGACCTGCTCTATTCCAATCCCAACCATCATCGTCAAAGAGCCATCCACCAGCAGCAGCGGGAAAAGCAGCCAAGGGAGCAGCATGGAGATTGATCCTCAGTCTTCGGAGCAGCCCGGACAACTCCGGCCTGATGACAGCTTGGGAGTCAGCAGTCCGTTCGCAGCAGCCATCGCAGGGGCCGTGAGGGACAGGGAAAAGAGGCTGGAGGCAAGGCGCAATTCCCCAGCCTTCCTCTCCACAGACCTGGGAGACGAGGATGTTGGATTGACCCCGCCAACACCACGGATGAGGCAGTCCAAGTTCACTGAGGAGGCCATGTTCAGCAGTGAGGATGGTTTCAGACAGCTCATGTCGCCATCTCCAATCCCCGCCCCCAGGGAGCCCGAAAACCTTTTTAACAGCAGTGAGCCCAGCAACCAGAGTGACTCAAGGACATTGAATGCTCCATCCAAAACGAAAGGCACTGACAACAGTATGGCGGCAGCCAAGCCCACGAGCGCTCCCGGCTCGGATAGCTACGTCCACCCGGTCACAGGGAAGCTGTTGGATCCAAACTCTCCACTTGCCCTCGCGCTCTCTGCCAGGGACAGAGCCATGAAAGAGCAGACACAGCAGGTTCCAGGCAAAGGGGACGCAGTCAAAACTGACCTTAACAAACCGCTTTACATCGACACCAAGCTGAGACCCAACATGGAAACGACTTTTCCTGTTACTGCCACTGTCACCAGGCAAAATACCCGCGGCCTGTTGAAACGGCAGGAGACTGAGAACAAGTACGAGATGGATGCAGGGAAAGAAAAGAAAGCTGAGGAGAAGAAGAACATGTTGATAAACATCGTGGATACCTCACAGCAAAAATCAGCTGGCTTGTTGATGGTGCACACGGTGGATACGGCAAAGTCAGATGATATGCCAGAGGATGAGGAGGAAAAGGGAGCTGAGATGGAGCCGAACCCTGAAAACTCCCCGCCGGAGAGGCCGGAGGGCAGCGAGGAAGCGGAGAGCGAACTGAGCGTCTCTGCCGCGCCCGAGCCCCCGGCTTCTCCCTGCAAAACCATCGTTGCCGCCAGCTCTGTGGACGACCCCGTCATCCTGCCTTTCCGCATCCCTCCACCGCCCCTGGCCTCAGTGGACATCGACGAGGAGTTCCTGTTCACCGAGCCGCTGCCCCCTCCCTTGGAGTTTGCCAACAGCTTTGACATCCCCGACGACCGTGCAGCGCCCGGCTCAGCGCTGACAGACCTGATGGCACAGAGGAAGAACGGCACCCCATCGCCCAGCCAGCCAGCAAACTCCTTGGACGGCAAAAAGCCAGTGGGTCTGTCAAACTGTTTGCCTGCCGCCTTCCTGCCACCCCCCGACAGCTTCGACAACGTCACCGACTCTGGGATCGAGGAGGTGGACAGTCGGAGCAGCAGTGACCATCACCTAGAGACAACCAGCACTATCTCAACAGTGTCCAGCATCTCTACCTTATCCTCAGAAGGGGGGGAGAATGTGGATACTTGTACAGTCTATGCAGATGGGCAAACATTTCTGGTGGACAAACCCCCAGTACCTCCTAAGCCAAAAATGAAGCCCATAATCAACAAAAGCAATGCACTTTACAAGGATGCGCTGATCGAGGAAACTGTAGACAGCTTTGTGATCCCTCCTCCCGCTCCGCCGCCACCTCCCATCAGTGCCCCGCCCAGCCTGGCGAAAGCTGTCCCCCAAAGGACATCCAAGCTATGGGGGGACATGCCGGAGGTGAAAAGCCCAATTCTCTCAGGCCCCAAGGCTAATGTCATTAGTGAATTGAACTCAATACTCCAGCAAATGAACAGAGAGAAATCCTCAAAGCCAGGGGAGGGATTGGAGTCGCCGACTGGAACGAAAACTGCGAGTCTCAGTACAAGGTAAAAGTAATTAACCAAATCATTTTCTAAAAAGGCTTGATTTTCTTTTTTTTTTTTTGCCATCCCTTTGCTAACTTCTCCTGTAAATCACATAGATAAAAGAAGAGTGTACTCTGTATTTTCTTAACAAATAATCTGTGTCAAACATGAATTTCTTACACTGTCAACATTTGTGTTGCCTACATGATAGGACAGGAGCTTTCTCAGCCTTCAATTTCAAGGTTTGCACATACCTTTCTGTTGTTTTGATGTGAATTTCTTAGATTTTGCTTTAATTTTTTTTATCTCTTTAATTTTTTTTCTCTTTAGAGTCTTTCCTTTTAAAATGGGATGATAATTTAATTTTTCTTCAGTCCCATGGGGTATTTTGGCTTCAAACAGGTAAAAAGTGTTTTTGCCAAGGGTTGCTTTGCATTCACTGTGTGGTCTCATTTGATTCATGCTGAGACCTCTCCTAATCTACTTAATCATAAAGTATTTCAGAGAATTCCTCATTAAAATCACTTTGCACTGTACATTTTATTACTAAACCACATCTGTATGGAATGTGGACATAATATCATGAAATCCACAATTATTAAAAAGGGAAAGCTAATTTTGTGTGTTTCATTAGGAGACTGAGGTATATCTTCTTGCAAAAACACCATGCTGGCTTAGTTTAAAAAAAAAAAAAAGGTGCCACCTAAGTCAATTTTATTAGAATTATTCTGGTGATTAATACATAGCTCAGCCTTTGGAAAGTTGGTGTATTTTGCAAGCATGAAGATAATTTGTTTTTAAGGGAAGGGTGTCTCTGCTGATTGCAAAGATTGCTCATTCAGAAAACAGTGTGATCCACAGCCTTGGCATCACGCAGTTATGATATTATTTCCTGCAGGATGGAAGCCATCAAACTGGTGACAGTGAGGGAATTCAATTTTTAGAATTGAGAAGTGGTAATAAAACACAGAAATGTTGGAATTTCTCTCAGTGGCTCTTGACTAAACAGAGCAGAAACTGAGTTGGGTCTGCAGGAAAAGCCTTCATACATGAAAAAAACCCACATTATTTTTGCTGGATGTTGATCATGCTTCTTGTTAAGCCCCATGAACATGTTGTCTGTAGCTTCATGTGTATAACATTATTTATCAGCTTTTATTTTTAAGCTGAAAGGTATTTCCAGGTTACAGGGGAGATCTTTAACATCCCTATTTCATTAGAAAATAACCAAGGCTACCGACTACAGTGCACTGTAAATATGTAAAAGTACTCTCATTACTGAGAGCAAAATGAAAAGTAGAAGTAAATAGAAATACTTTTTCTGTGAAAATACATTTTTTAAGGTATAAAGGGTGGGGAAAACTTGAAGAAGTATAGCACTTCACTAGAGAAAAACAAGCTGTTATGTAAGCAGAAGTATCCCCATATGTTACCTTTTAGAAGAAGGGCTGACTTAGTGTTACAAATTTGTGTTGCTTTTTTTCCTGTCCTTGAGGTTTTTAAATTTTTCAGACTCAGCTTTGGCAAATTACTACATCTTCATGATGGAATACAGGGGCTCAACTTTTCCCTGAAAAGTAAACACAAACACTCATCTTTGCAAGCTGGAGAGAGGATCCTGGGATGTACTGGAGCCAGAAGAGCTATGAGGGCATAAATGGGATAAGTTGGCAGTGGCAAAGAGCACCAAAACTCTTGGCTGTTATTTGACTGTGGGAGAAAATGTCACCTCCACATCATTCCCGGTGGGAACAGGACACAAGAGGGTATTGTTTCCTGCCGTTTTCCAAACTGATGTGATTACTTCTTAATTATGAGCTGGATTGAAGCTGCTTAAAACCACCAGGAAAGGTTGCTAAGGATTTGTTTTTTTAGCAAATTATAATCCAGGAGACAGCAGAAGAGAGCCAGCAATCTACAGATGCTGGAAGTGTGTTTGAAAAGGTGCTGCAGGCAGAGTCTTTTTATCTCAACCAGGGCAAGGCATAGAGATGGAATTGGAGATGTTCACTTGTGGAATCAGAGGCCCTGTGGTTTTCTTTCACTGCTTTTACTCCCGATTTATCTCTCTAAAAGTTAAATAAATTACAGCCTTTCTAGCCCAGCTGCATGACTGACACAATTTTTTTTTTTCAAAGCTGTCAAATATTATGACCAAGGAATGCCACTTTGTGAAAATTTCAAGTGTAAAAGCTAATGTTTAAATTTCAAAAGTAAAATTCCTGGAGTTCCTTGGTATTTTTTCCCCTAATGCTCTAAAGCTTAGGACAACCATTTGTTGATCTTGCAGCCCTTCCCTGTGAGGTAGCATTAGAAAGGGACCAAGGAATTTTGGCTCACAAAAAGCAGGGGTTCTGCTAAATTAAAGAACCACTCATTAGGTCTGTGAACAGAGCAGTGATAATAAATGAGCCTGTTCCTATCCACCAGCCAAGGAGAGGGATTGGGAAGGGTTATAAATAGGAACAGCATTCATAGGCTTGCTTGGGCGGTGCTCGCAGCACAGGCAGCCTGAAGAAATTAAAAATATGTAACTGCTTATGGGGCCATACATGAAATTATAGGCCAGACTGGAATCCTAAATCCCACTGGGAATTCTCTTTGCATAGCCAGTAGATGTAAAACTGGGGTTCACTCAAGGCAATTGCCCTGTTAGGGTGGCACAGGAGTGAATTAAACTACAGATAGTTGGGTAATGACTGGCTGCAGTAACCCATAAAAACACCTTCTTTGTGCTTTTTTGATAGATGGGGATGAGGAAGAGGACATTCTATGGTCCTGAACAGCATTTCTCAATTATTACATTGAAATCACCCCTAACTTGCTTTTATTCTCTGTACCTTGGTTTAGCAATCATTTTCCATGGTATATTTAGTTTTCCCATGGTTCTTATGGAGACACCGAGCTTGAAGATTTTTAAATAGAGCATGGAAACGCTTGGCTGGAAACCATCTGCTCCTCCATTCTCAGTGGCAGTGGCCAGCCTGTGGGACAGGAAAAAGGAGCCCAGCAGGAGAAAGGAAAAGAGGAAGAAGTGAGAGGTTGCCCTTGCTTACTTTATACCAACTGAAGTGTAATTAAAGGGTTTGATCACAAGGTTCAGGAAGAGAGCTCCAGATCCCACTCCCAGTTTTGGCCACCATTTCCTTTGAGGAATTATGGCCATCAGTTGTGGTGACAGAGGTTTTAATCTGGCTCATCCGTGTCCTCCTGCAGATGAGGAGGACAGGACGTGTCAACCACAATAAATACAGCAGTGCTATACATCCACTTGAGAGACCCCTGGCTTTTATAGGGAGCTGATGAAAGAATGGGGAGAAGAGCCAAGCAAGACTTTCCCTGGGAGAGAGGAGGAGAGTTTGCTCTGTCTGTGACCCAGCAGTCCTGCGGCAACATGACCATCAGGGGCCAACCCCTGAGATCCAGGGGCTAAAAGCAGTGTGGCTGAGGCAGGATAAACCCGGGGGCCACCTGGGACAGACAGCTCAGTCCCCAGGGAACACAGCATCCCCCCTCCCTCAGGCCTCTGGAGCACTGATAAGGAGCGTGAACAGCAGCTCCTTCTGCTCCCCACCAGCACCACATCAAAATGATCCATGGCTTGGCCAGAGGGAGAAACACTTCCAGTTTTTCTGTGTTTGTCCAGCTGTGTTTGCACAATCCCGTGACCTCTGGGACACATTGGCATCACTGCTGGTGGTGGGAAATACTTATGATAAATGTGGGAGTTATGGAGGATGCTATGGAATTGAATCCTCTAGGAAGAATAACCTGCATTGTGCTGGAATAACAAGTTTTAAAAGTGAAACAGAACAGTGATTTTGGCCATCAATTAATTAGTTTTTTTTCATGAGTATTTGGAGAAGTTCCTTTTATTTTTCCACAAGCAGGTAAGGCAGAACAGAACTTAGTAGTGAGTCCTTTATAGGGAGTGATCCTATGTTTGGTTTATTGTAAAGGATGTCTGGGTTTGTCAGAGGATAAAATAAGTGCCTTGATTTTTCACTTGCTGCTCTCATTAGACTCATTTCACATTGTTAACTGTTTACCAGCCAATTTCACAGGACTGCTTGCTTTGTCAGTGATTTCTGCAGTGTTTCAGTCATTCCATTCTGTCATTTTTATTTGCTGTCATGACTGCTGTTGTCAGAGGAGGGCCATGCTGAAGTGCCATGAAGTAAGTGCCAACCATAAAGCATGGACTACTCTATGTTGTACATTCTGCTGCTTTTTAATGCTCACCCATTGTTATTGCATTCTAGTGACTTTGGTGGTGACTGTGTTTCTCACAGTGCAGTGTGGATTAGATCATCCTAATCCAGAAATGGTAGCCATCCTAAAATGGGACCTAGGATGACATCTCAAGGTGAAATAAAAGCCACATTCATCAGAGGAGTATTCAGAAAATGTGTTGGTAACATGAGCACTTAAGACCAGATTCCTGAATGTGTCTGAGCACCTAAACAAGGGGCAGAACTTTTCAGATATGGCCAGATTTTGGGAGGTGGAGGGGTGGGGAGGGATGATTAATACAGTTTTACACACCTATGTGAGGCTAAAAGTAAAGACAAACCAGCCTGTGTGGTCATCTTGTCCTTGAAAGCTGTGGAATTCCCCCCGTTCTCCTTCCAGCTTCCCTTCCCCTTGCAGTTATCCAAGTAGAAAGGGCTGATGCTGCCTCCTGGCCCAGCAGCATCCCCTTCCTGCTGCTTTCCAGACATTTCACATGGAAACTCTGCTCCTGCACAGACAGACTCCCACAGACCTGCCTGACTGTTCCTCACTGGCAGCAGACACAGAGCAGCTCTCAATTCTTCTCCCCAAAATAACCACGCCCATGTGGGGAGCTCTGCATCCTGCCAGTCATCACGTCAGCCCTTGTTCTTCACCTGCCCCCAAAACAGACAACTCTTGGCTTACTTTCCTGCCATGCTATTTGCCTCTGACAACGAAATAAAGAAATTAAGAGGTGAAGGCAAAGTTTGGGGTTTGTGGGGCCTCCAAGATCTGTAAGAATTTGATTTCACTCAGTACCCCTATACAGGGACTTCACTTATTACTCCTCTTGATTTTTAAGGTGTTTTCCTTTAATACAATGGAAAAGCTGTGTCAGAACCAGCAAGTCTTCTAGAAATTTCTGGGGTAAAACAACTCCCAGGAGCTGAGAATAATGTGGGTTATTTATTTTTCCATGGGAGCTGCTGCACTGATTTGCCGCTGATATTAAGTTAACAGTAAATTTGAATCTTGCAAATATAATTTAAAAGTTAAAATAATTTTTTGCCTACAAGCTGTGCTGATGGCTTTTATACTTGGAGGCCATGTGGTTGTGACATATAGGTTTTATATTTTTTGATTTTAATATGAAGCAACATAATGGGCATTGCAATCAGTGCAGGCTCACAGCAGCAAATGTTTACAAATTACCACCATATGCTGATTCTAATAGAGCAAATTTTATTTAAAATAATTATCTGACTTTTTTCACCTTTTTAAAATGAAGTTTGGGGTGTGGCAGGTTTAATATGGATTTAACATATCTAGGATAACAGATGATCAAATAAGGCATAAGAAATTGCTCTGATTAAAAATCTGGAAACCCCATAACACAACAAAGGGTGCCTGCTCTCCAGCTGGAATGTACTCGCTCCTTATTGACCAGGGTACCAACCAACCATAAAATGCAAGACAGATGATTGTTTCAAGGCTGTGTCTGCACCCCAGATTGTGTGGGAGATGTCATAAATTATAATTTAGGATGCATAGAAGTAAACATAAATATCCTTAGGGTTTTTTTTCCCTTGGATTGCAATTACAGTGCAGCACGAAAGAATGGAGCTGATATGGCAGGTGGAAAAGGGAGAAAAGAACACGGGAAAACAATCTTGGAGGGAAAGGCATGGAACTAAATGCCTGGCAGTGCTTCAGCAGGCTTCCCTGAGCTTCACCAAGCTGTGCTCATGCCATGAGAGCTGAGCACTCACACGGCTATGAACTGAGTTGGTGTTGAAACCTCTGCAACCAGCTAAATAAATCTTATCACTGTCTCAGAGTTTTGTTTTAATAATCATCAGCCCTGAACCTCTGGCTTGGAAAAAGCAAGATCCTCTCAGTTCTCCTGCTGCTGCATGCAGCCATGTGAAGCCAATGTTTTGATCCAGGTGACAGGGAGCAAAGGACCAGGATGCCTGGGATGCTTTGCTCACCATGGGTATTCCTGCCCATGGGGCTGAGAAAGTTAGGGAACACCAGCCAAGGAATACTTCAAATGAGAGCACAGAGTTTACTTTTGGAGGAGTTGTTTCTTCTGTCTTAACATCCTTTATTTAAAGGAAGAGTGACAGTAATTTCCTGAACAAGGCTGGGCAGGGAGTCTTTAAGAGGAGCAGCCAGGAGGAGAAGCAGAAAAAGTGAGTTGCAAAGCACTGAGCCCAGAGCTGTCAGTCAAGCAGTAGAAATTATCTCTCATCACCTGGAATAAAAAGAGGTGTATTTTCATCATCCATTTGATCTTGCCACAACGGGTGTAAATACAAAAGCCTAATTTCTAGTATTTGCAAGACAGGAAAGTTAAGTAGAAGGGTGATTGTGGGTAAAGATCAAAGAATCATTTCCCTATTAATACACAGCTCATTCTTGCCATGACTAGGATAGCACTACCCCAACCTTTTTCAAAGCAGGCTTTTTGTTGGTTTTAAATTATATCATGCCTTAATAATGAGTGTGAGAGAGTGCTGAGGTAAAGGAGGTGGAAATAACTTGCTCCTCTTGGTTAGTAGAATTTAATAGTCTCTTGCCACAGAGTTTTTATTTGTAAGTGTGCTTAGTTCCAGCCTTGGAAGATGATGAGAGCCATTAGGTGCCAAAAACATCACAGGAAACACACAGAACCTTGCCAAGCGTTTCCTTTCTGTGTTAAATTACAAAGCCGTAAGTGCTGGAAGCATTCTTCCTACTGGGTTTTAAGTGAAGTACCAATCTTCCAAAGAGATCCCCCTGTTCCCGTTGAAATCCATGGAGCAGCCTATGGGAAAACAGTGGGAATGTTGGTGTGAATTAAATGTGAGTTCTCCCAAAAGTGATTCTCAGTGCTCCCTCTCGTGACAGGGAGCTTTATTTGAATGGGACCTGCCGAGATGTCGGTGTGGCAGAGCTACATCTCCCTGAGCTCTGGGTTACTGTGAAGTGCCAAAGCCCCAGGGGTGATTCAGGGAACATTCTCAGGGCTCTCCACAGTCAGCAGCCAGCCAGGGAATTATTGTCTCCAGCTCAGGACTGCACTGGGAGAGAAAGGGATGAATAACCTGTTTGTTAGCACTGCCCCATGTTCCATTACCCTGCTTTTCCTTTATCTCCTTGAGTTCTTTTCTGCACAGCAGTGCAGAATTACTGCTGTGCTGGATTAATGGAAGCATTTCCATCTGACATCATGCACCCAAGCCATCCTCAGTTCTGCCCAGGCAGGACAGGACAGGCCTGGGGACAGTGTGGCACTCAAAAACAGAACTTGGAAACAGAGGGCCTCTGTCAGGGTCTGCGCTGGAAATCTCAGTACAGTATCAGCCACACCATCCTCTGGACTCCATGGCATTGCTTCCAGGATAAATAAACCCTTCCTTTGCTCTGCAAGTGCTTTAAATTAGTTGTCTGAAGGTTTTCCCAGCTGGCAGGTTATTTCTGAAGTGAAGAACACTGGAGGTCCAGGCATCCAAGGGCTCTGGAGCATCCTGAGGTGCACATTGACTGGCTGGCTCTTCCCATGGGAGTGAGGGCTGTGGGGTCAAGCCTTTGATGACATGAACAGACCCAAACCTAAATTTGTTTCTGTAGCCAGCAGGCAGAAGCAGGGGGTCGTGTTCCTTCACCCACCCTGTCAGGCTGGGCATCAGAGCGAGCCTCTCAGCGAGGTTCATGCCTGCTTCATTCGTAATCAGAAACTCATTTTCTTCAGGCAGAACTTGATCCCAGCTACATCACCTCCGGTCATGTACAGGAAAAAGAATTTTGTCTCCTTAATTTTGTGGTGAAACTGCCAGAGTATTATTTCTCTGTGGAAGGAAATAGATACTGAGATGTTTTAGGCACCTTAGAAGGACTGTTTTATGTTTAGAGCATGGATAGAAAGGGAAATAAGAGCAGCCTGTTCTGTAAACAAACAGTACTACAAACACTCTGCAAAATTCACTGAGTGAAGCCCAAAGATCCAAAATCCAGTGCTCCAGAAACTTTCCACAGCTACTATTTTTAGCTATGTTATGTGTAAAGCCATAACTGAAGGATTCCAACCCTCCACGTGGCAAAGGGAAGGTCTACTCCTCGTCGAGCTTCGTTGAGAGTATAAAGTGCTCATGTGCTTGTTCCACTCAGCACTTCTCATTTAACCAGGAGTAAATTTGGGAACAGGGAGAGAATGTGCTCTGGAAGGTGTTTTTTCCTGGACTGCTCATAAGAAAATGTTTTGTTTTTAACTATGGCTTACCATTGGTGCTGGTTTTCTGGGAAAGAGTCAATGATACAATTTTTGTACTTTTAGTTACAATGTGAAACTACCCAATCATTCCCGTGCTGTAATTACCACGTGCTGATGGGGCCGTGCAGGTGGCCAGCAGCTCTAACTGTGCTTGTCTGTTTGCACTTGCAGGAGCACGGAAGTCATGAGTACTGTCTCAGGTACACGAAGTACAACAATCACTTTCACTGTCCGACCTGGAGCCAGCCAGCCGATCACACTGCAGAGCAGGTCCCCAGACTATGACAGCAGGACCTCAGGAGCAAGGCATGCTCCCAGCCCTGTGGTTTCACCAACTGAGATTAATAAAGACATCCTGCCTGCTCCTCTGACTGCTTCTGCTTCAGCCTCATCTCCTTCTCCAACTCTGTCTGATGTATTTAGCCTACCCAGCCAGCCCCCTTCTGGGGACTTATTTGGCTTGACCACAGGGCGCAGCAGGTCTCCTTCTCCCTCAATATTACAACAGCCAATCTCAAATAAGCCTTTTACAACTAAGCCTGTCCACCTGTGGACTAAACCAGATGTGGCAGATTGGTTGGAAAGTCTAAACTTAGGTGAACATAAAGAAACATTTATGGACAATGAAATAGATGGCACACATTTACCGAATCTACAGAAGGAAGATCTGATAGACCTTGGAGTGACTAGAGTTGGGCACAGAATGAACATAGAAAGAGCTTTGAAGCAGCTGCTGGACAGATAAGAATAGCTATTTTGCCTCACAAACTTCTGTTGATAACTAGAGATGGGCTGGTACTGACATACCCCAAATGCCTTGTCTGTCTGTGAGTGCCAGCAAAATTGGGGGGGGAGGGGGAAAACAGATGAATTCCTGGTACTCAGGTGATGCAGACTGTCTGCTGCATGCCCAAACACAAACCTAAAGATGCTAAAGAAGTGGGGCCATTTTATTTCAAAGCTGTGGGGAGATGTGTGAGAGAGACAATTGTTAACTTTAAAACTCTTGATGCTGCCCTTGGCCAGGACCGTTGCGTGAGGATTTTCTTTTAAAATTGCAAACATTTCAGGGTTCCTTTTATTGACAGAAAAAAAAAAAATTGCATTTTATTTTATTCTCTTCTTGACATTCAAGTCTCCAAGTAGGCTTCCTTCCCCAGCCCTTGGTTCATTTTGAGATGACAGGTTGCTCCATTACCACTCAAACCCAGTTTTATCAGTAGCAGGGATATGAGGTGGGCATAGGAGTTTATATTACTCTTTTTTTACTGACATAACTCCCTGATCTGTGGGCAGTGAAGCTGGTTGTCCTGCTGGGGTCAGTCCAATGGTAACCTTGCTCTGTTTTACCTGGTATTTCTTTATTTCTGCAGTGATATTTAGCACTCTTCCAAGGTGGCAGAACAAGTTCAGTGCATGCTCCATTGACATGGCCTGTAGGATGGTGCAGATGTTGAGTAAAGGCTGAGGAGGGACCACGCTTAGATGTACAGCAAAGTGAAGATAGTTTGAACCTGAGACCCCCCAGTTCTCAACCAGCTCAGCTGCTGCTGAGTCAAAATAGGAGCTCCACGAGCCAGGACAAACTTTGGTGTGCAGGCAGAGCTTTGAGACTTGACAGTGAGACACTGAGAGAGGCTGAGCCCTGCGAGGTGCTGCTTAATTCAGTGAGTGGTAAGTGCCTGGGTACTTTGAACACCAGGCTGAGAATGAAGGAAAAGAGAAATGAATGTTCCCATTGAAGTCAGTGGGAAGTGTGCCAGGATCTGAAGTGAGAGAGGCATTTCAGCCTGTTAGGATGGAAATGCTTCAGATCCTTGAGAGGAGGCAGAGAGGTGATGCCAAGATGGAAAGAGCTGTGGAGTGTCTCGGGGTGCGTGCGTTCTGAGAGCCAGGACGGCTGGGGAGGGCTCTCATTTTATCACTGCTGGCAGGAACTGGCTCTGGACAAGGACAGAGGGCCGGGCACTGGCCACCAGCCCATTCCTTGGCACAATAGGCGGGAGCATCCTGCCAGAATCCAGGGCTGGGAGTGGGGCAGAGAGAACTTTCTGGCAGACTTCCGTCAGCAGGGGAGAAACACCCATGGCTGGTTCACACAGCTTTGTTTAAAAAAAAAATTTTTTTTTTTTTGACTTTCAAGTTAACAAGTCTCTCTCTGCATGTTTGAACTCCCCCTTGTAATTAACACCTCTGAATATCTGTGAGTTTTGTAGGACTTTCTGGGCAGAATATTCAAGATGTTCAAGGTGGGTAAATTGGATGTGGATGGCTAAAACTGCCTCCCTACCAAACTTTCAGGTTCCCTTACATTTTGCAAGGTACCTGAACTTTCTTTCCTTGATATGGTCCTTGATATGGTCCAGCCTATCTCTAAGTTTTTTATTATTGTGATTATTTTTTGCTCACAAACAAGTGTCTAATTAGGTCTGCAACAGCCCTAGTATGAGTACATAAAGTTTAGCATTTTAAATATCTTTCTTTACTGCAAGTTTAAATAGTTGTACAGATAGTTTATAAGCACAATATTTTAAGAAAATAAGTGGCTGGTCTACTGGGCAGCCTTTGTGCCACTTCAGTGCTAGGAAGTTAAAAACAGACAAACAAAAAAAAAAAGAAAAAAAAAACTTTTTGTGGTTTACTACTATTTCTGTGGAATAATTATAAAGTCTTGACCTTTTTAAAATCAACCTCATTTGGATGCATCTGAACCAGCAGAGCTGTGTTATATTTTCTATCTTTGCTAGAACTTCTACAGAGGAGGATGAGTATTTCTTCAAAAGTGGTTACAGTTACCAACGCATTGGAAACTCATAAAAATCAACTTATTTAAGCCTCCTGCCCCCTTTTTGGAACAGCAAATCTTTTGACTTAACATCTGTTACTGTGCTCTGTTTGTATTTGGGGAGTTCCAAGGAACCTTGTCATAAAAACGAAGCACTGAGGCGTTTTGCTGTCGAGGAGTGCTGAGTTTTTCCATGGGAGGTGTAGAAAATGGCAGTTCCACTCAGATAGGTTGATGCAGGCAACTTGAGGCCATCACACACTTCAAGAAGTGAAAAAAAGAAAAAAACAAAGGTAATTTAGCCATCTTTTGTCTTCCATTTGGTGATACGACAGAATTCAGTAAATAAACCACTGATGCCATGCTCTCTCTTTTTTTTAATTTTTTTTTTGGTTTGTTTCTTTGGGTACAGTTGCTATTACCTCTATAACATGTGCCAGAAACACGTTAGGAAATAAATACAGTAGTAAAATTAAAAAACATAGACGTTGACTTTTAAAGCTGCTTTTTTTGGATCACAACCTTCCCGTTGGTTGAACTTGCCCTGAACAAGCGCTGGCACACCCAGCAGCTCCCAGGTGGGAGCTCCCTTCCTCACACAGGTGTGGCTCCTGCTCTGCATCTCTTCAGGTACTCCAAGAGCAGGTACACAACGGGCAGACGAAGGAGGTGTAAGGGAATAGTTTTATTTTTCACCTTGTGTCCTATGAAGCCAAAAGGTAAGGAGACCTGAGGGGACCTACTTGGACCAGCAGAACGCACCTCTGCCAAGTCGAGTTCAGTCTCCAGCTCTGAGGGGTGGTTTGAAACAAAAAAAAGAAAGCAATAGTAACAGATAACGCCGTGGCCTCCGAGTATTTTCAGCAGGGGGGAGGAGAGAAGACCCATTTCTTTCATGCTACTCTGATAGTGAAAAACAAAGTCATTAGATATCTATGATATTCTGGGTTTTAGGATCAACTTTTGTTTATATACTGTAATTTAAATAAATTGCATTTACATGCCTAGTTTCTGTAATATTTGTGTATACAATACCAAAATCTTACAAGATGTAAATTGTGTATAACTGCACAGACTCCTTGCCCTAGGTGTCTGAGAACATTTTAAGTTTAATTCATATATTATAAAATGACTAGATGTGACTGTTGATTTACAGAATTTACATATCACAAAAAAGTTAATTATTTGTGGTACTTAAGTTAATAAAAAAATAGTGATTTTTTTTTTCTTTTCCTCTCAGTTCTTAGAAAGCATTACCCAGTTGATCTGGTGATGATTATGTGTATGAGCCACAAATATTGATAATTTTTCCATTACATTTTTTCTTTTCTTTTCTAGATACTAATATGTTTCTCGCTATAGTTTGTGTAACAACTTGTGTTCACGTTATCTATGTTGCTGTAATTTTTGTGCTTTAATTCCTCTTATTTCAACTGATTAAAAAAACAAAATCAAGCTCCTGTAACTTGCACTTTTCCCCAATCCTTAATACTCTTGTATGGCAACCAAAATTACTGTAAGAAATAAATATAATATTGCACTAAGGGTGTGTTTCTGATTGCAAACAGAGAGCACTGTCTGGATTTTTATTAAAAAAGAAAAAAAAATAAGTTGCCAAAAAAAAGTTGCAATTTGTTTTAACAAAATGTAGATAGAACTAAGGGGAAATTATTGATTTATTGTTGGGAAAAGCATTTCCTGTTAATTCTTTTTTTTTTTTTTTTTTTTTTTTGTTAAAGCATTCCTTATGCCGAATTTTCTGTTCATTTGCTGAATTTCAAGGGTCATGCTTGAAATCTGGAAAAGCAGGAAACTTTGAAGGGGACAGGTAGAAAACTCCATTACCTTAGTTTTTTTGTTGTTTTGTTTTGGAGTTATTTTGGTTTGGTTTGTTTGTTTGTTTTTTGTTTTGGTTTTGGTTTTTTAGGGGGTTTTGGGTTTTTTTTTTGTTTTGTTTTTGGTTTTTTGGGGTTTTTTTTTGCCTTAAGGTGGAATTCTGAAATGTGTGGAATGTTCTTTGCTCGGGGAATGCACGCCTCGAGCTTCAGTGCTGCTGCTGCTCTGCAATTTCACGGGGCACTGAAAAGTGAGGGTTTGGGGATTTGATTTTTATTTGGAGCTGGGGTTTCTCTGGGGCAGAGCAGCTGCGCAGAGTGGAGGAGGGAGCAGCACTCCTTGTCCCACTTTGTGCATCTGTGACTTCGAAATCTGTACCAGCGGGCTCTGTTTGTACTGTGAATAAACAAGGCTGCGAATGGAAAAAAAACCCAACCAAACAAAAAAAAACCCAAAAAACGAGGAAACAATTATCATCTTCTTTTGGCTTAAGTTAAAGATTTGTTTTTCTATCTTTAAATGGTGATGCAATGAAGAATATTTTTTATTTTTATTTTCTAAGATATTGGAATAAATACCTAGAACCGTTGCCATTTGGTTTCATATGTTCCTTAACTACAAACCTCTTCTCAGCTGTCATTCTAGCTCATCATTTTTCTAGCCCTCTGTTATTATTTCTCTCATGATTTCCCAGCAACAATTACTTGGCAGCTTTGTTTTGTTAAAAACATAAACTAGAACAAGCCTGTTTGGGTTTTTTTTATTTACTTATTTCAGGTATTGTGGCAAACATCTGTGTATCCAAATAAAGTCAGGTATTTCCAGTGCAAAACAAAGAATGCTTTGCAATTGTCACTGCTTGTTGGCCAAAGAAATGAGAAGAGTTGATCATTGCTGTTGTTGTGTACATTGTATCAATGTGTTCTGCTTTATTCTTTGGTTTCTGTATTTTTTTCTGTGGGTTTTTTTTTTTTCCCCTGTATTTTCCTGCATTTTGTGGACTTTCATCCCCTCTGTCCTTGGCTGGGCCACCCAGAGTAGCATGATTGTAACGCTTCAGAATGTGTGTTTTTAAAAAAAAAAAAAAAGAAAACAACAAAAAAATTGTATGTGCCTTATAATTTTCCACGTGGATCAGCGACACTGTATTTCACATAAAAAGCTTTATCTTCAAGGTGTTCAGTACCTGACAAACAGAGAGTGCTGGGGTTGGAGTGAGCTCTGTGTCACTACTTTAGGAAACCCTGAGGAGCTACAGTGATTCAGACCTTATCTCACCACATTCTTGGCATTGTGAGCCTGATTTCACGTCCTCTATTCAAATCAGGCAAGCAAGAGGGGAAAAGAAATGAGATGAGACTGTTATTTTGGGTTCAGTTCACTGCCATAAATCCTGGGTGGCTGGTACAGTTGATGTGGGCTGTGTTTCACAGACGAGGTAACGATGATAAATAAATAAACCAAGTGGACTTGATGCCATTAAGTCTGCCACGAACTGGTTCTGTGCCACTGACATCTAGTGGAATCTGATGGACACTGTCTCAAAGCAATATCAGACCTTTAAAAATATTTATTTATTTATTTATTTACTTTCAACTACTGTCATTCTTTCTACAAGAAGCTGTTTTAGAAAATTTTGTATTGCTGTTGTTTAGGTTGGCCTGAGTATTTAGGCCTTTATTATTTTACAGAAAGGCTGACTGTATAATTACTCAAATTATACACCAATGAGAAGTCTTAATGTGTTTTCTGGTCTCTCTGTGCTTATGTTTTCTCAGTTTTCTGTTTTGAACGTCAGCATCTCCATGTGATACTTCATTTGCATCCGGCATGGTTTTTAATGGGAATATAGGTTTTGTCTCCAGTGCTGTAAACCTTGGACTGTTTTGAACCCTTTCTGACACTACAACCTGATGAAAAACAGCCTGTTCAGCTCCATATTGTGAAAAAAAAAAAAAAAAAAAGGTGAATTTCGAAGTTGGGAAGCAGTTCAGAACAGCTGGGGGGGATTTCCCTGATGCGCTTGCAGTGCTGAAGTTTGGTTTTCTCCAGTAAAATTCCAGTTGTTTTTTTCCTCAGGACTGATGCCAGGAGGAATCCATGCACGTGTGTGTGAGTTCTTGTACGCTTTCAATGTAAAGGTCCTTGGGCAGCCTTAGAAAACAATGTACAGATAGGACACCAGTGTTGCATGTGCTTAAACCTGTACTGGAATCAATGTCGCCGTGTACCTGTTTGCTTTGGAAATCTGAAGAGAATACAATATACAGAAACCTCAAAATCTACCTCATGTTTTAATGGGTCTGGTGTTCTCCCGTTACCTGAATGTCTCTGAGCGTTCCCTGCTGGGTGCAGGGAATGGCCAAGCCTGGCTCTCCCCACCCGACTCGCCCCTAGAAAATCCTGAGTGAGGAACTGCTGGGGCTCTGTCGTTCTTCTGTCCTTTCTGTGCTGCAGCTTGGGGTCTCTTTGGGGACAGATCTGCAGTGGCAAGGGCGAGGCGAGAGCTCCAAGAGATCAAACAGAAAGGGGACTGAGACAGAACTCACTTATCACTTTCTCATTTCTGTTATTGATGTTTTTATCATGTACCATTTACTTGTCGCGGTGCCAACAAGTAAACAAAAATCACTTCATTTTTATCTGGGCATACTCAAATAGTGCAAAGAAATACTATTATGTTTAGAATTCTTTTTCAAGTTGTGCTGGATCTCATCTCTCCATTTGCTCTGTCTCAGCAATTTTCTTTCCTTCCAAAGCAGTGGGTGTCAGCTTTAGTGTGTGCAGCATTCTGTAGGTTCAGCTGGCTGACCTGTAAGACTTTTAGTACCCCAGTAACACATTTACAGGTGTACCTTTCCCCTGAGGTCATTTGAAATGTCCAAAACCGCTCATTTTCTGCATCACAGAGAAGGCACAAAAAGCAAGGGCAAGTGGCTCCCTGAAGCTACTTTTCAAAATTTCTAGGAAAGGAGTTTTCTCCCAGAGGCCAATTCCTCCCCTCTGTGCATTTGGAGGAAAGCATGGACACACCTTTGGCTCTGTCCCGCGGGCACAGCTCCAGCTGCTGACCTTGGTGCTGTGCTGCCACCCTTGGGTACAGAGCCACCCGCAGCAGAGCTCATCCTCTGGGTGCTGCCTGGCTGTGCGGCTGGCCAGGCTGCTTTATCCCTGGGAAAATCAGCTGGGAACACGGAAAATTTGCTTGTATCACATGCACGGGGTGGAGAATCCCGCCAGGAATTCCACGCTCTGCCAGAGGGGACAGGGAAGAAGAGAAATTTGGCTTGGCAGAGATGTGCACAATACCCAGCCACAAAAAAAAGGCAAGGAAATTTAACCAAGGAATAAGCCCCTGTAGATGTCAGCAGCGTTCACAGGAGCTCAGGACCAGTGGGATAAGGGTGGGAATGAGCTGCTGGGCTGGGAGTGGGGCTTGGAGCAGGGCTGGGGAGGACTTGCTCTGTTTAACCACAAAATGTAAGGCTGGAAGGAGATGTCTGATTTTCCCCCTCACCTGAGGGGTGAGCTGCCAGGGGAGGGGGGTGACCTAAGGGAATGCTGGCTCTGGAATGACCCGTCACCAGCTGGGGATGGATTCAGGCTGGAAACCAGGAGGAAGCCCAAGTGGGGAGGAGAATGGGGCTGTGCTGGGGTGTCCTGTAGGAAACAGCCTGGGATTTATTCCTTATGGCACACAGCTGATCTCGGGCACCTTCCTGTGAACTCTTCTGCCAGAGCTGTGGGCTGAGGAAAATGGGATGGAGGGACCCCACCCCTGGAACAGCCTGGCTGGCAGAAACTCTCTGCCATGGCAGGGAATGAGATGGGTTCTGAGGTCCCTCCCAGCCCAGAACTTCCAGGGGTTCACAATTCTATTGAAAACTATTAATTAGATTAATACTGAAGCACCAGACCAAGCTCTGGAGCAGAGAAAGAAAACTTGAGATATTGCACCTAAAATATGCCAAACCTAAAGCCTGGCTGCAACATTAAAGAACTCCAGGAAAAGGGAGCAAAAGTTTCTTCAGGAAAGATAAAATTTTCACCTCTGCACAGTTCTGCATCTTCTTGTCAGCACAAAATAGATGCAATAAAACAAATAAAATAAAACACTGATATGCAGCTCCTTAAAGATGAAATTCAAGGTTGCACAAATCCCAATATTCCTGCTAACAAGTGCCATTTAGTCCTTATCTTCAGGTTCTGTTTGTTTTTTGTGGCTTGTTTTATTCTGTTTTTATTTTTTAAAGAAAGAAACAGGTAAAGATCATTGAGGGATTTATTCATTGTCCTTGTCTGCAAGGACAGCAGAAAATTTATAGCAGTTTCTATAACATTTAACATCTTTAGCAAAACATATGCATTTCCTTTTTTTTTTTTTTTTCCTAAATTATTAAATAACAGATAAAGGGATTTTCCAAAGTAAGGATGTTCCATCAGACTGAAAAAAATTTAAAAAAAAAACTGTCTAATTAGCCACAGTAAGAAACCCTGTGAAGAATTTCAGAGATTTGAAAGGCAAAACCAATATTCATTTAGAAAAACCCAGAAACAATTGTGTGGTTTATGGAGGATTCACTGTCCCCAAAAGGGCAACAGGGCCACCTGTCAGGACACCAGTGGACTGTGCCAAATATTTCATTATATTGCACACTTGCAATACTGAAAACACAAGATTTATCTCATTATTTGAGGTTCTTGGGTTTATTACAAGGATCAGTTTTATCCCTGCCCTGTAAATGGGGCACAAATAAAACCTCACACAGAAATAAGCCCTGGCTTGTCTGGAGTTTAAGTCTAAGAAATGTTTAATATTTTTGCTGTATCACTGCCTTTTTTTTTTCTTCTTTTTGTTTTTTTGGGTTTTTTTTTTTTTTTTGTTTGGTTTTTTTATACTCAGGATACCTTCCTTTTCCTGGCTGATCTCTTGTTCTTCCAGGACAGATGAAATTCTGTATTTTCCCTCATGATAGCCAATATAAACATAAGAACATTTGGATTTTTTTGCAGTTACCAGCTACAAAAGCCAAAGGCCAAGATTGGTATCTGGGCTTTACAGAAGGAAAAGATGATTCCAGTGCAAATTAGCAGCACTACAAATTTAAAAGCAGCAGAACTCAGAATGAACTCACTGGAGGATCTGTTTCCAGACTGCACTGGAAATAACACCCAATATTCAGTAGAGAAATCTCATTATCAACTTGCAATACTCCCAGGCTGTGTTTGAGTCTGAGATTTTGATGGCCTTTATTTTTATCAGTGCTTTTCTGACCACATTAAAGTTTTCTACATTATTGTGCAAACATGGGGGGGCAGAGCCGTAAGAGGCTTGGTTAATGAGGAATTTTAATTTATTTCATAGCTGCCACACAGATTAATTCAGGGTAAGATGATAGCTTGTTTTTTTCCAGGAACTGTAGTAGCACTCTGTGTGCCTAGGAATAATCAGAAAATTGTTTAGGTTGGAAAAGTCCTCTAAAATCATCCAAGAACTGCCAAGCCCTCCATCCAAGCATGCCCCCAAGTGCCACATCTATGTGGCTTTTAAATAATTTAATAATTCTACATAATGTCAATAATTGACCTTGAACTTGAGCTACTTCCCAGGCTGGGACGTGCCACTGCCTAGGGCTTCCCGGACAGAGGAGCAGGGATGTTGCACCGATACCAATATGTGGAGGAGCAGGACGAGTGGAAATGAGCAGCTGATTAAATGAGCACACACTGCTGAGGGGAATGAGCAAGGAAAGGACAGCCACCAGCTGGGACACGACACCTGCCTGCAGAGCTGACCCTCCTGCCTTTCTCTCTTGGCTGACCTGGCCCACAGAGGCACCTCCCCTGTTTCACTTGGGGGACCTGGCTGCCCCAGGGTCTGCTGCGGATCAGGAGAGCTCCGAGTGATGCCTGGGGGGATGAACCCACCCACTGAACAAAGAGCTGCTCCCGGCTCTGCATCTGGCAGGGAACAGCTCCCTCCCTTCCAAAGCTGCAGCCAGTGCTGATCCCCGGCCAAGATCCAACAAAACGCTGTTTTGGGAATGTCTTTGTACTCCTGCTGACCTAGCCGTGGTCACGCTGTCTGTGCTTTGCCTTCAAAGAAAGGCCAGTAATTACTGGCGGCAGTAATTATGGCACTGGGCAAGCAGGAAAGCAAAATACAGAGTTTCTCCAAAGCTTCTCTAGGAGAAGAAAAAGAAACAGCTTCTAGACCAGACCTCCTAAAAGAAAACCCAAATAAATGACATTCCCAGAGATCCCCCAGCTCCTGACTCCCTGTTAGTTTGATGTTTATTCCTCTCTTAGGACTCCTCCTTGTGCAGTGGGGTTTGCAGGCCAGAGAATTAACAAATCTTGTTTAGCTTTCAACTTCAATATCTCTGTCACAATGCACTTTTGCTGCCTGAAACTTCCAGAAGCCAAAACCTGGCATCGGAACTGCAAACACTGGCTTGGGAAATCACATAAGCCCAACTCTCCAAGGATCATTTTCTTTTTTGTTTTAAGTGTGAAGTCTGCTATAAATACCTGAAATGGATGATTTTAAATTTTGGCTACTTAGAAGTAATTATTTAATCAATTTTGCCTGACTCCTCATAGCCATTAAGCCCTGTTTTTGGGGAAGCTTTTTCAGGGTTGCCTTGCTGCGTGAGGCACTTCCCAGGCAGTGGAAGATGTAGTGCCTCGTTTTCTGTCCCAGCTTCCCAGATCCTGGGACAAATCTATCAAGTGAAGCTACTTTGATCAATCCAAATTCCCTTTTTGGAAGTGATCCAGGGCAGTACTCTACACTTGGCCTCAAGATCAATCAATCCTTGCTCTTTTCCTGTGCCCATGGATTAACGTCTCACTTTCTACTTTACCAAGGGACTTTGCAGCAGCTCCTGTAGAAATGTGGTCAACGCGAGAGGAATTTGAAGCAGCTTCTCAAATTTAGTACAAATCCAGCACCACACCATGAGCATCCTCCTGATAGATATGGACATGACTGCAGCCTGTTGTGGAGGCTCCACATCCCTTTCTGACAAGGAAAAGCCTGCAGCAAGGGGAAGAGTTCTTGAACTGCACCCCAGCAGGAGCTGACTTGGAGTACTCAACATCCAGAGGCTGCACTGGGAAAGCTCCTGGTACAAACTGGATTGTCTCAGAAAATCAGAGGTGGCTCCAAGTCTGCATTTGCAAAGTCAAACCAGCACTTGGGGATGATCCCTGTTCTTCACTTGATTTCCCTTGACTCCTGCTCCTCTTGCTTGGGTAAAAGTAAAGAAAAAAGGAAACACAG